ATACAGTGTGGATTCTGGACAGCAGAGCTGTATTCAAGTATTGGTCAATTTTTTTTTACTACCAGTTCTGTGGGCGTGGCTTGGTGGGTGTGGCCTGGCAAGGGAAGGATAGCGTAAAATCTCCATTCCTTCCCCACTTCTGGGGGAAGGTTACTGCAAAATCCCCATTTCCTCCCCACTTCACTAACCTGCTTTCCAGCTCCATTCTCCTATGCAGGGCAACAAAAGAAGACCAAGCCAATCAGCTGGGACCCGGGAGGCGGAGAAAAGATGGGGGCGGAGCCAGTCAGAGGTGGTATTTGCTGGTTCTCCAAACGACTCAAAATTTCCGCTACCGGTTCTCCAGAACTGGTCCAAACCGGCTAAATACCACCTCTGGGTACGACTTTCTCCCAGAAAGTGGGAATAAAACGATGGGAGGAGATGCTCCCACACTTCATGGGGGGGGGGGTGTCCCAGGGTCATGTAACCCCCCTTCTGCAACCCTCTGACAAACCGGAGTGAACAAGGAAGCGGCATTCACTTAACAACTGAGTTAGTTATTTATCACCTGCAGGGATTCACTTAACAATGATAGGCAAGAAAGGTCGTAAAACTCCCTGAAGAAATGCCTCACTTTAAGAACAGAAATGCCTGGCTCAATTGTGGTCATAAGTTGAGGACTGAGTGCAGAGGAAAAATTAGCTCGGAAGCAGGGACCCCTTTCATTCCCGGAACAAGCTTTTTAGGGGTTACATTCATATTAGAAGATTTAGGAGCGGTGCTGGTGGCCTAGAGGTGGAAGTCGCACCTCACAATCAGGAGGCTGTGAGTTCGATCCTAGGGAGAAGTAGATGTTTTTTTCTCTCTGGGCACTCTCTGCTGAAACAAAACTCCGCCCTGGTGACAGGAAGGGCATCCGGCCAGTAAACAATCAGCTCCATTCTGTTGCCCAAGACTCCATCCCGCAGGGGATTATGGGGTCATTAAATGAAGATGAGGAATCCATAGGACCCAACTTGAGTCTGGAGAGTCCAGAGTAAAATAATAAGGGCTTAGTTTTGTTGACTAAGAGTTGAGATCTGGTGGGGTTGATAATCCTTGGAGCAAGATTTGGTGGGGTGAGGTACTGACTGTTATCTTACTCTCCTGCAGTTCCAGAACTGCGTTCGGATCCCTTAGATGAGATGCCGCCCAGCCTTCCTCCTAAGATGGAGAGGAGACTGAAACTGGTAAGCGTGTTCAGCCTCCACGTTGGGCCAGTCGGCTCTGGTCCAAATCATTCCATTATTGCTCAAATTAAACTGTGTTTTTTTTTTTTAATTGAGACTGATAGGAAGAGAGAATAACTTGGATTTTTTTGAGGACCAAAATGCAGCAGAGCAAGGAATCTTTCTTCTCCTCCTCCTTTTCCACTCTTCCTCTCTTTCTCCTTCTCTTTCCCTTTCCCCCTTTTTCTTCTCCTTCTCCATCACCTTCTCCGTTTTCTCCTTCTCTCCTCCTCCTTTCCCTTTCTCCTCCACTGCCTTCTCCATTTTCTTCCTCCTTCTTCTCTTCCCCTTTCCTTCTCCTCTATAGCCTTCTCCATTTTTTCCTTCTCTCCTCCTTTCCCTCTGTCCCTTTCCCCTTTCCTTCTCCATCTTTCTCTCCTCCTCCTCCTCCCCTCCTTTCTCCTTCACTTTCCTTCCCCCTTTCCTTCTCCATCGCCTCCATTTTTTCTCCCTCTCTTCCTCCTTGTCTCCTTTCCCTCCCCCCTTTCCTTCTCCTTCTCCGCCTTCTCCCTTTTCTCTTTCTCCTCTCCTCCCCTTTCTCCTTCACTTTCCTTTTCCCCCTTTCCCCCTTTCCTTCTCCTTCCCCATCTTCTCCACCATCTCCTCCTCTTCCCCTCCAAAATACTTTAAACCAGTTTGGGAATCACTGGGGGCGTGTGAAATTAAAAGGGGAACAGGTACCACCAGGAGGTGAGAATCCCCTGAGGGCCAGGAGGCACACCTGTTCCTCCCAGGTAAGCTCTTGCCTGTTTCTCCTCCACAGGACAGGGCCCTCTTCAAGAAAGTCTTCAACGAGTGTCCCTTGCGCCTCACCTCGGCCACCGCCTGGACCCATCCGCACACCAATGGTAGGCCTGGAGCAGAGCTGGGGGAGGGGCTGGCGGGTGGGGCGGGAATACATCGGTCCCCAGGTGAGCAGCATCTCGTCCAGGTGAGGTCCTCTTGCCCGTTGCTCCCCTGGCCTAAAAGACTCTACTCATCTGCTCTTGCAGGGTGACTAGATCTAAAAAAATGATCTAGAAATAATTGCCCGGTTTGCAACGGAGCTCCAGGATGGCTCCCTCAATCTAGGACTAGTTCTTCTGAACATCGTTTGTGTGTGTGTGTGCATGTGCATGTGTGTGTGACTGACTACAGGTGGTCCCTGACTTACAACAGTTTGTTTAGTGACTTTTCCAAGTTACAATGGGCACTTAAAAGTGACTTATGACCCCCTTTTTCCACATTCCTCAGGTGAAAATTCGACAATGAAATCCACAATTTTTCTCATTCCTTCTGAAATCTCTCTCTCACACACACACACAGACATATGCACAAAGGCACATACATGACTTACAACCATTCGTTCAGGGACTGTTTGAAGTTACAATGGCACCACAGGTGGGATGCAAATATTTTTACTACCGGTTCTGTCACCTTTGGAAGCCATATTGACACCGGACACTTCCACGCTGCCACATTCTTGAACTTGGGAAAACCGGAGGGGGGAATTTCTTGGGAGTGTATGTGGTTAGACATAATAGCATTCTTTTTTTAAGCCAAGGTCATGTTATCTCTGCACCTGGGTGAGAGAACGTCTCAAGCTGGGACGGATGGTGATTGGGGCATGTGATGTCATGATGGGTGCAGGGGGTGGATTTGTAGTTTCTACTTATTGCAAGGAAGCCCGGAACTTTCAGATTCGGGATGTGCCAGTTTACTAATAAAATAAAATAAAAATAAAACAGAACTTTTGAGAGGATGTTTGTCTCGGAGTTATTTGTTGGAGTGGAGGCTTTCTGGAACGCTGACATTATCCCGAATCTCTAAATAGCTACCAGCACCTTGAAAGGGGGCTGTCCGGGGTGCTGAGTTCCAGTACCGACCTAAAATTCAGGTGGTGCAAAGACTCAGCGAAGATGGAGAAAGACAATATGCCTCTCTCTGGCGCCAATCTGGACCTTTGGAAGACCTGATGGCCCAAGTTTAGAGACAAGAGATTCATGGAGAGCGTCTACTTATGTGGCCGCTAAGAGTAGACACCCACTGGATGATGGCGTGTGGACCCACCTTAATCGTGAATTTCCTCCCTATTTTCCAGAGCTGCACTTAATTCTGGGGGCTGAAGAAGGAATCTTCGCCTTGAACCGGAAGGAGGCAGAACCCGCTCTAGAACTGGTGAGATTGACGGGGTGGCCGGAACGGTTCTGAATGACAGAAGGGAGAATTCAGTTTCTGGCTTGCTTCGAAGGACATCATCATTCTTCTTTTTTCGTCCTTCTCCCTTTCTCAAGCTTTATCACAGCCGAACGACGTGGGTCTATTGCATGGGGAACGTTCTCATGTCACTTTCAGGTACGTTGCAAAAAGCGCAGAGAAGAGCAACAAAGAGGATTAGGGGCCCGGAGGCTAAAACACAGGAAGAATGGCTGCAGGAATCGGGTAGATTTAATCTAGGGACGTGGCGGCTCAGTGGCTAAGACGCTGAGCTCGTCGATCGGAAAGGTCGGCGGTTCGAATCGCTAGCACCGCGTGACGGAGGGAGCTCCCGTTATTTGTCCCAGCTTCTGCCAACCTAGCAGTTCAAAAGCACATAAAAAAATGCAAGTAGAAAAAACAGGGAAGGGAACAGCGTTCCGTGAACCTTCGAAGGCATTTAGTCCTGCCGGCCACACGGAGACGTCTCCGGACAGAGCTGGCTCTTCGGCTTTGTGACGGAGATGAGCACCGCCCCCTAGAGCCGGAAACAACTAGCACGTTACGTGCAAGGAGAACTTTTACCTTTAAATCTAGGGACCAGGGGTGACAATGATAGCAGTGTTTCAATATTTGAGGGGCTGTCATAGAGAGGAGAGTGTGTGCGTGCAAGCGTGCGCCCGATTTTCAGCACGGGAGCCGAAAAAGATTAGCCACCATAGACTTTGTTGCACGAAGTCCAGCAAGCCCATGAAATATGGGCCATTGGCTGACAGCAAGGTTGCTGCTAGATTGCAATTGATCTGGGTGAATCTACTGTTTGAACTTAGCCATTTTGAAGTAGGCAGGAAGCGAAGGAAACAGAAAGCTGGATTTTGGTGCCCCCCCTCCCCCCGAGGAGAAAAGTGCAGGTGTGATGCAGCAGAGAAAAAGGTGATTTTGTGGAGAAGAGAAAACGATACCGAGCAAATTCTGCAGAGCTCAGAACGGTGGTGCATAGGTCCTTATGGCAAATATCACCTGTAGGTCTCAATTTTTTGGCCCACGTTGGCATTTTTGAATTCAAGGCTGGAAGAAATGAACCCGCCGCCCCGCTGCTATCCCCAACCCAAATATCAAACTGACTACAATTCCCATAAGCCCCAGCCATCAGGACTAGCAGTTCCCAGCCAAGGATGGCAGATGTTTTCCCCAACCTGCTTCTGGAGCGTCAAAGAATTCAGTCAATATTTTTCTAACTTTTTGCTGAAAACGAGAGAGGAAGTAGGAAAATCCCCTCAAGCCATGAAAACTTGGTTTTAAAAGCCAGAAAAGCTTGAGTTCCCATGAGCTTTTTTCTCTATATATCTGTGCTTCTCAACTGTGTCCACTTTAAAATGTGTGGACTTCAACTCCCAGAATTCCTGAGCTACCCTGTTTGGACCAACTCCCAGAATTCTCTGGCCAGCATGAATTCTGGGAGTTGAAGTGGCTTAGGCTGAAAAACAGTACTCTGTACTAAAAACAAATTTAAAAAACCCCATATCTTCCTGTAAAGAGAGATACGCTTCCTCTTAAATTACTTAAGCACAGAGTTTTCATTGGGTAGATTGCTAACCGATGATATATACATATTTTACATTTTTAAAAGTTTTTTTTAACTTTGTTTGCCTTTCAACGTTTTTATCTGCAAAATTCAGGAAGTGGTAATAAAATCAATCAGTTAGCTAATGTCTGGAGACCAACCTGCTGTTCAAACAATTTCCTCTTGTATTTTGTTTCGTTCTCTTCGCCTCCCGTTTTTAAAAAAGCCCTCTTGACAAAGCGGTAAAAGACCATAAAAGCCACCTGAAGTTAAAAAAAATCAAGAGAATGAGAGGGACGAAAAGAGCATTTGAAAGACAAAGTGAAATTGTAGTAGAACCACCTCGGAGGTGCATTACTAAGGGCTCTTAAAGGTGCTTGTGGCAATTCTGCAAATACAGACCCATTCCTCTTGCAAAATTTAAGTCCCAAGGCCTGAACAGAATCTCTAATCATTTGTACCCAGTTAGCCATAATAATTGTTTATATCCAGAACAGATAATCTTTGACGCACAACCACAATTATAACTGGCACTTCTGTTGTTAAGTAAGGCGCTTGTTAAATGAGATGCGCCGGTAATTTTCCTTGCCGGAACTGGCTAGGAACATGTTGTGGTTAGCTGGCAGCAGGTGCAGATGGCTGAGGAGAGTAAGGACTCTGATGAAGGGCCAGGACCATCAGGGAGTGGACTGCTGCCTTCAGAGATGGTGGGGGCTGGCAGCAGCGACGAGGAGGTTCCCGAGGAGCCTGTGCCAAGCGCACGTGCACAAAGGATTGCTCGGAGGAAAGAACAATTACGGCAGCACAGGCGACTCGGGAGTAAGGCTGCCAGGTAATGACCCCTTCCTCAAGAGGATAAAACTAGGTTTGGAAAAAGTGTTCTTTGCAGACAGCAAAGAAGCTCTGAAGCTCAACTGGTGGACATCTCAGTTTGTGTTTGGAGAATCTTGCAAATTAGTTCTTATCTCTGGGTTGTTGGCAGCCTTGACAAACAACTTGGCAAGGCTCTTTTTGTCAGAGATAATGGTTGGAAAGCAGCCTTTTATCTATAAAGGAAGAGCATTCGTGATTAAACCTTGAAAGGGGGGGTGGCTTCTGCCTTTGTGTTTGTTCTTTGGGAACCCGGTTGGGTCAGAACAGAATGTCAGCAAATGCGGATAACGTGCGTGGTCCTTGGACACTTCAACCGTCATAGATACATACCAAGTTGCCGAGCCTCTGAATTCAGATCGTGTCACTAATGGGATACTGCAATGTAATAAGTGTGAGAATGTTTCCAAGTCGCTTTTTTCAGCGCCGTTGTCATTTCGAACAGTCACTAAATGGTTGTAGAGTGGTGTGATAGCCTAGAGGGGGAGCTCTCGCCTCACAATCAGGAGGCTGTGATTTCGATCCTAGGGAGACGCGGATATGAGAATATCCTTGCTGAAACAAAACTCCGCCCTGGTGACAGGAAGGGCATCCAGCCAGCTAACACTCAGTTCCATCCAGTTGCCAAGACTCCACCCCACAAGGGATTATGGAGTCATTAAAAGATGATGACGACTAAATGAATGGTCGTAAATCGAGGACTTGCTGTACAACTCAATTAATCTCAATAAGTTTTCTTTTCCCTTCTGTTCAGGCAAGGTACCCCAACTCTTTTCCCACAATTTACTCAGTCTGCACGAGCAGAGCAAGAGAGACCAGCGCCTGGGAGTATCCCTTTCGCCACACCGACTATTACCCAGGTGAACCCATCACCGGAACAGTGTCTTTTTTTCTTACCCGCTTCCTTAATTCTTCAGGAATCATTTAGATGTGAGAATGGTCAAATCTCTTTATCTGGAAGAGGTCTTTAGCAACCTGGCTGGCTGGAGCTTCAACGGGTTATTTTCGGCTGGGTCCTTGGAGCTCTGGTTGTTTTCTTGCAGACTTTTCGTGACCCAGCTAGGTAACATCATCGGTGTTAGAAGGGAGTGGGGTTTGCAGAGAGGAGAAGGAGGGGGACTGTGAGGTCCTAGGCACTTTCTTGAGCTTAGTGGTTTTCTTGCAAACTTTTTGTGACCCAACTAGGTAATATCATCAGTGCTAGAAGGGAGTGGGGTTTGCAGAGAGGAGAAGGAGGAGAAAGAGAAGGAGGAGGAGGACTGTAGGGTCATTGGTGCTCTCTGAGCTTGATGGTTGTCTTGCAGACATTTCATGACCCAGCTAGGTAACATCAACAGTGCTAGAAGGGAGCGGGGTTTGTCCTCTGTTCTTACACAAGTGGCTAGTTCTGTTGGTGGGAGAAGTCTTGGTGAAGTCCAGACTTCTTAAAGTTGCGGGACGCTCTGTAGGACAGTCCTAAAAGCCAACCCCGTATCCCTCCATAACCAACGCATCTCTTTCCTCTCCTTCCTTCCCTCCAGGAAAAACATCATCACCACCAAGATCCCCGACACGAAGGGATGCCAGAAATGTTGCACAGGTGCTTTGAATGCCAATCCTAGGGACGGTCACAGCCACCACGGCTGACCGCTCCTCTCCTCCCTCCCCTCCGTTGTCCTGCCTAGCATCCAATACAGCACCTTCTCTCCCGCTTTCTTGCAGCCAAGAACACCCAGAACAGTTGCCACTTCCTCTGTGGAGCCTTGGAGGCAGGGGTTGTTCTCCTCCAATGGTATGAACCCATGCAGAAATTTATGCTGGTCAAGGTAAGAGCCCGAGTCCTCTGCCAGAGGAAGCCTCTCCTTGCCAGGGTCAAGGTGGGCATCCCAAGGAACAGAGAGAGCCATGTTGTGTGTCTGATAGGCTTAGTTGGCTAGGTTGTTCGTTTGCAATTTAGCACATCGGGTGCAATTGACAGGTGGGTGCCAAGCAACGGAGAACACCTCTTTCCCACCCTGTGCATGCTCCTCGTCCCGATAAAATCCCTTTTTATTTAGTTTGAAGTGAATTCTTCTCCAGCAAAGTCCTGGCCAACAATCTTTCAAGAGATTTCACAACTACGGGCCTTCATCAGGCTTGGAGAGCTGCCAGGCCATTATCTTCCAGACGCTACTCTGTAGCAGATAATACGTGGCAAGGAGCCAGGAACAAGATCTTCACCCTAATGAATTGAACTAATTTGTCTCCTGCAAACACCACTCCACTTTCGCTCTTTTATTCCCTTTGGGAGAGGCCATTCACCGTCCACCTGTGGCTTTACTCCATTGTTCCTCAGCTGTTCCCTTCGTCTGGCAGCTCTGTGCATGCGCACACTGGGAACAGGCTCCAGCTGTTCTTCTTCCCCACTGATCTCCGACTCCAAAGGCAGCTGATAACTGTCAGATGGCTCCGGCCTCATCTCTGCCTCTGACGCAGAGCCCTCGTCAGAGCCTTCCCCAGACTCCAGGACTGGCCCATGCTCCTCCCCAACCTCCTCACTGTCTGAATCTGCTGCTAGTGGGCCACAACACATGCTCTATGAAGGTCTCTCACTGTTATTGAATTGTATTATTGAAACTATTTTGGGATGCCAGGGTTTTCCCATTTTTCAGGACATGATTAATTCCTTCTGGGTGACAATTGAAAGCATGCTCTCTTTTGCACTAGGGAGACCACATTTGCAATACTACATCCAGTTTGGGTGACCATAATACTAAAAAACACCCCATGTTGAGATTCTAGAAAGAGTGCAAAGAGCAGCAAAGACGATTAAGGGACCGGAGGCTAAACCATACGACAAACGGTTGCAGGAACTGGGTATGTCTGGTTTAAGGAAGAGAAGGACTAGGGGGGACACGATAGCAGTCTTCCAATATTTGAGGGGCTGCCCCAGAGAGGAGAGGGTCAATCAATTCTCCAAAGCACCCGACAAGAAGCAACAGATGAAAACCAATCAAGGAGAGAAGCCACCTAGAACTAAGGAGAAATTTCCTAACTGTGAGAACCATTAACCAGTGGAACGACTTGCCTTCAAAAGTTGTGAATGCTCCAACCCTGGAGGATTTTAAGAAGAGATTGGACAGCTATCTGTCCAGAACTGTATAGGTTCTTCTGTTAAGGTTTACCTGTATTAGTCCGCATGACTATGGTTTCCTAGTCTGGTCTACTTGATAGGTGGCTATTAGTACAGGTGCTCCCGATGACAGAGACAACACTTTTGAGGGCATCAACCCCATTCAGAAAATCCTTCTCTTCTTCTCCTTGGATAGTACTTTGATTTCCCCCTGCCTCCCTCGCTGCCTATCTTCGAGATGCTGATAAACCCCGATGAGGAATATCCGGTGGTCTGCATTGGTGTGAGCAAGGGCCCCCCGGGACAAGCTGTGCAGTTCCAAGTCATTAACCTCAATTCCTTAACCTCCTGGTTTATCAGCGACAAAAGCGGTGAGTATTCTGGTTTTGAATATCCCGATTTCTTTTCCCCCCCCTCCGCTGAATCCTAGGATGGATTCTAAGTCATGTGGGGGTTCATTTGACATTTGTGGGGGAGTCTTCGTATCTGCTGTGGCACATTCTTTATGATGGGCAATAATAAGATGGAACTTCAGTAGAAAGGTCTTCTGCAGTCACGACGTAAGCCTAAGTTTGAAAATCAGGCTTGTCAGGTGTTACATCTTTTCAGAGAATTGGTCTTGAAGAGACAAGAAGCATTTCAAATGTGGATTTATAGGCAGCTGTTACATATAAGTTGGGTTGACAAAATCAGAAATGAGGAGGTGATAAGCCAAGGGAAATAATCAAAACTAGAAAAAAGAGAAAGTTGGAATATTTTGTGGACATGGGATGCAACACCTGGAAAAACACGGCATACTTCACTTAATCCTCCTCCAAGGAAAGATTGAAGGCAAACAAGGTCCAGGCAGAAGAAAAACATAATGGCTTCAAAATCTAAGGAACAGGTTGGGACAAAACTCAACAGCACTTTTTTGTGCGGCTGTTGATAAAAATAGAATCGCCAACATGATTGCCAACGTTCGATGATGGATATGGCAGAAGAAGGAGGAGAAAGGTTACACCAGTTCATTCCTTCTTTGTCTAGACCAGGGGTCTTCAAACTTGACAGCTTTAAGACTTGTGGACTTCAACTCCCAGAATTCCTCCTCCAGTCATATTAGCTCAGGAATTCTGGGAGTTGAAGTCCACAAGTCTTAAACTTGCCAAGTTGAAGACCCTTAGTCTAGACCAAAAGGCCACCTTCTTCACTAGGTTGAAGGTCTTCCGGAAGGAACTCTTTAAGTATCAAAAGCAGTCTTTAAACGAATACCTAGCCGTGGTTCTGAACAATGCATTTGTTTGTCCACAGAACCTTCCTGCTGTGGCTTCGTCCAGGTGACTCAGTTGGATAACAAGACAGTGATGGTTTTGATGGATGGTAAGTAGAAGCCAGGTGGCCCCTTGGCTGGTCAGGACTGTGAGGAGGGACCATTCCTGCTGGGGCCAATGCATTTTTGGTTTGTTTCCCAGGATGCATCCAGTTTGTCAGTCCCCAAGGAGCATTGCTTGGATCTCCACCAAAACTCACCTTCGACGTAGCTGTGGAATCAGTCGGTGAGTTCCTCTTCTCCACCCTATTCAGTACTTCCTCCTCTTCCAGTTGCCTCATCGCCACCGTCTGACGCTCCTTTCGGGTCTTAGTGGAAGGACAGGTTGTCATCTCCAGAGCATCTCTGACCTTGATGGAGAAAGAGGTCTAATCTAACCTTCTTCTCTAACCAAAGGCTGCCTAGGATTCTCCGATTGTTGTGATGGTGCTTGGGCGAGTGTGTTGGCTTGTCTGTCATGAGTACTGAGGTGCGTCAGGTTTTAATAACCAGATCCAGATATGCAGAGTGTCAACTTGTAAAACATTCCCATGCTGGTTTCCAAGTTGTCATAAGAAAGAAACCAGAGATTTTTTTATTGGGAATCTTACCTGATATATATAATAAAAATTTGAAGTATTTGATTGTAAATATATTAACAGCGGCTAGGATTGTATTTGCTAAGAACTGGAAGAGTGAGAAAACTCCATCAGAAGAAGAAATTATTAAGAAAATATTGGATTGTGCTGAAATGAGTAAATTGACATTTGAAATCAGAGAACAAGAAGATAAACAATTTTATGAAGTTTGGGATCTTTTTTATCAATGGTTAGATAATAAAACATAATGATAGAATATTCAGATTTAGCATAAAAAATTTTTTTTTCTTAATATTATCTTTATAAAACATTATTAAGGTAGATTTGGTATGATCTTATGATTTATTGCAAAATAAATTAAGCAAACTATAGTTATCTCGTTAAAATATGAATTAACAAAATTATAAATGGGTTTTTTTTAGCGATGATATTAGGTTATACAATTATTGATTGATAATATGAGCTATTATGTAATATAATTATACTAGTGACTAGGAAATGGATGCACAAAAAAAAGTGGTAAACCAATCGATGCACTGTATGTAAATTCATGAAGAAGGATCTTTTTATGTTTTTTGTGGTATGTTTATGTTTATCTTGTTATTAAAAAATAAAAAAAAATTATTAAAAAAAAAAAGAAAGAGAGGAGGGAACCCTGAAGGAGCATATGGCAAATGAACTCAGAAGCACATTCCAAGCTTATCTCACAAAGATTGTAACTGGAGCAACCGGGTATTCTGGGCGCAAAAATCCTCTATTGGAGAGCCTGATTGAGGACAACCAGCTCATGAATGTGTTGTCCGTTGGACAATCTGAATTATGAAACACCCAGGGGGGTGGGGGGAAACAGGGTCCTAGGCGATTGTAAATTACGTATCTCAGAGTTGGTTTCATACAGATCATGCCAGCATGTCGCTCCTAATAAATCCTTTGAAGTTTTTTGAAGTTTGGCCTGAGGCTCATGATTTAATTAGGGTGATTGCTGGAATTCTGGCACAGAGCTCAACCTAACTATTTTATTATGTTCTGCCTATAATACAGGAATCTCCCCACACTGGCAGTCTCCTTCCTCTTGGGAACAAATAGATAAGGCTCCAAGGAACTTAGGCAGGGTCAGTTAGGAGTTTTGTGGTTGCACAATGACTCCAGGCTATTTCCATGCTTGATTCCTCCTCCCTGCCAGCTGGGTGTTTCTCAAAGACGGGACCGGTCTTGCTTTGCGTTAAGGTTGAGTCATCCTTTACTTTGAGGGATGCTAGCCCACTTTTAAAGGATTCACTCCCCCATTCCGCTTCGCGGGGGGAGGCACGTCCAACACCTGAGCAGCTTTTATGAAACGGGGAGTAAGTCACGGTGGCAGGACCTGAACTTCTTCACTTCTTCTGTCTCCAGCACTGGTGCAGAACTGCGTGCATGCATTTTGGCGCCATGGTGTGCAGACACGGCCGCTTGGATCAGGGCAGGTAAAGGAGAAGTTGTGTTTTCAACATGGTGTGGTTGGTCATCTTGGGATTTTATGCCAAGGATGGTGGTGGGAGAAGAGCCCAAGATAAGTCCTCCATGGCATTCCACAGTGTTCTCCAACTATGAGAGCATCTCATTTACCTTGTTCCTGATTTGTGGTCCAATGATTCTTAGCAAGAGGCTCACTTAAGAGGTATCCGTAACCCTTCATCCTGATCCAATGTTTCTTCTCAGGTAGCACAGAAGCTGCAGGATCAGCGGTGGACCTTCCGCCTACTGGGAGCCTCCAGGTTTGAAGACCAGCAACCTCATCTCTGTACTTCTCCCACCTGTGCAGCTCGCTCCACTCCTTTGTGGCCTTCAGAACTTAGCCACTCCTTCCAATTTCCTTGCGTGGGTCCTGTACTGAATAAGAGGAACTCCTTTTCCTTTGGCTCTTTTGAGACCACCTTCTCCATCCCGTGGTCTCCATTCTCCCCAACCTTCTCAGCAAGCACGGCCAATCCGCAACCACCAAACAGGGTGCCCATCTAATCCTTGTCTTTTCTCTTCTCCTTCCTCGCCAGCACCATTGTGTTAGAGACGCGACCAGTGAATAATCCGAATTCCACCAGCAATCTCTATGTGCCGGAATGATGACGGTTCAACGTCAACCTGCAGGTTGCTCAGACTGACCATTTCCCAACCTCCGGAACTGATTCCTCAAAGAAGAACGGATGACGGGGAAAAGGACTCCACCTTCAGGGCTGCCCAGGAAACTGGCAAGACAGGGCTGGAAGCGGGAAATTGTCCAGCCCAACTCCTCGGTAGCTTCGCCCCGAAGCACCAAGGGACACCAATGCCTTCGTTTTATGCTTCTTCTCCTTACATATGTTCAGTTTTTGTTTCCCATATGTACCTTCTCCCCTGAAAGATGTATCTCGGTGTGCATGTATGTATATGTGAATGCAACCAAAAGCAGGATGTGGCTAAGTTGTGTATGGCCAGATCCTGCCTTAGTGGTTACCCCCCCCCAGGCTGTTGTGGGTGCCCCATCACTGGAGGCTTCCAAGAAGAGATCGGACAGCCATTTATCTGAAGTGGTATAGGGCTCTCCTGCTTGAGCAAGGGGCTGGACTAGAAGACCTCCAAGGTCCCTTCCAAGTCTGATGTTCTAAGACGAGAAGAGATTGGAGAACCACCTGACTGAAATGGCACTGGGTCTGCTGCTTGATAGGGGGTTGGACTCTCTTATTCTGTTGAATCTCTTCTCAGTCAAGCTTTTCTGTTCACACATCCCTTACATATAGGGGTGTGTGTGTGTGTGTGCGCCTCCATTCATCCAAGCCAGGATGGCTTGGGGGTCATGTGATATCCTAAGCTGGCATCTGTGCCTATTTGCAGCGGACAGCTAAGCAATAAATCACACACTGGTCAGAAAGCAAGACTCGTGAAAAATGCGGAACAAACAACAGGAAAAAAAGAAAGTAAAGAAAAACAGCTTTGCAACTTGTTGGTTCTGCAGAAGGAGGATGTCGACTCGGAGGGTTGCAGCAGTCTATGGTTTTATTGGCAGAGAACCAAGCTGGACTCGAGGGGCGGGAGAACCACGGAGGGGGGTCTGCATTCCCGCAACAGAGCTGGCTTCAAACGTCCAGCGGGGACGGCCATTAAATTGGGGATGGCAAAGGGGGGGTCTAAGTCTGAGCACAAGGGCCTGTGGATCAGCAGTGGGATCCTGCCTGTTTCCACTACCAGTTTGGTGACTGGGCGCGCAGACGCGCACAGCTTTCCCCACACCAGCTGAGGCTCTGCAGCGCCTCCCACAGCCCCAGTGCACACACAAACACACACACAACTGGGTGGGATTTCTGGTACAGATAGGGCAAGAGAAGACACCCCCCCCCCCCCGCTCACCACCCTCAGCGTCACAAGTGGGAGGGCGAGGTGTGAGGGTTAATTCAAGTCACGGAGGGGAGGGGCAGAGGGGGCTGCATTCTTCTCCTTGGAGACCCTCTGCGTCTCTTGGGCACCCGACTACGCTGGGTGAGTGAAATCGGCCCCAAATTCTCCCTGCGCTGACTCGCCACGTCCAACTCACCGCCGCGGGACAAGTTGCCGCGAGACAAGAGCTCTGCTAATATCAAAGAAATAACGGGATGGGATCGTTAAAGAAAGGATACGAAAGGAGGGATAGAACAAAGTGGGAAGGGCAAACATTAAACTATATATATATATATATATATTAAAAACATTCGTTTTAAATAATTAAAACCAAATCGTTAAAATTGCTCTGCGACGAGTTGTCTTGGGGTGAGTCGGACAGGGCGAATCGTCCTGTTCCGTTCTCCTGATGGATCCGGAAGAGTAGTCTTTCCCTGTATGGGGGACCCTCCCCTCTCCTGGGGGGGCGAGTGAGGGCCAATAAAAGGCACTTGAAACTGGGAAGAGGTGGGGGTGACTTTAACCTGGAAAAAAAAAATGCCTATTGCACGAACCCCACCATCTACGCCGCCAGGAGACCAGAAAGAGTTGGAACGAGTTACTGGCCAAGTGGGAGGCTGGCTTAGCCCAAGCAGGTGGGGGCATTTCGCGAGGTGGGTTGGGTGGGGGTGGGGGGGCAGAAGTACCCACCTCTTCCACCGAGGGGAGGGGGCTTGGCAGCAAGAGGCAGAAGACAGAGGAGTGATGACTTGAGGGCGGAGGGAGGGGAACGAGGCGGTTTCCCCCCCAAGCTTGAAACAAAAGACGGTCAGCCACTCTGCTTTGGTGCTGAATCCCCCTCCCCTTTTCTCTAGGGCTGAAGGAAGGGGGCAAAGGTGGTGGACCCGGGGCAGCTGCCTTTGCCCCTGCTTCGCCCAGGGGAGCCTCTAGCTGAGCTGGTCTTCATACTGTTTGCGGAAGCAATCTCCGGCCGGGAAAAAATCCCAACAGCGCTCTTGGTACATTTTCCAGACGTAGGATTCCTGCAAAAGAGAAAAACATAGGAGCCAGCTGGTTAAAAAAAAGAAAGAAAGCAGCTTTTCTCTTTTTTTAAAAAAAAATAAAATCAGCTACAGGGAGTCCTCGGCTTACAACAGTTTGGTTGAGTGACCTTTCCAAGCTACAACGGATTTAGGACAGCGACCGTCACAGGATTTCCCCGGGGGGTTACATGATCAAAATTCAGATGCTGGGAAACTTAGCGTGGATTTAAAGGCGGGTGCAGCATCCCTGTTGGGGCCTTGTTGGAGTCTGATTCGGAGGGGGAGGTCGAACAGTTGACAGGGAGTGGGAGTAGCGTGGCTCTGGGGGCTGTGGAGGAAAGTGGGGAAGGGCAGAGTCTGGCTGGGCCTTCAGAGGAAGACCCAGGGCCGTCCCCTCCTCTTCATCCTAGGGCACGCAGAGAGGAACGGAGAAGGGAGCAATGTGAGTTACGTGGGTTACGGGGGAGAAAAGGGCCCTGATTCCCTTCATTAGCTGCAGCTGGGAAAACAGGATTTAAAAAGGGTGTTTGCACACAGCACCTTGCTGGAAGCAAAGTGTGAATTATCTTTGTTTGTCAAGTCTTATCTGGGTTTTGGCATCCTCCCGACTGGGCGTGTTTCATTATCGTTTGAAGTCTTCAATTCCTCATCCAGCCTTGTCTCATTAATTGCTGCAGCGTGGTTTGTGTTGGTTTTTATTTATAATTTATATGTACTTTGGGTTTGGACTGAATTTCTTCCCTTTAAAAACTGTTCTTGGGAGTTTTCTCCAGCCGATGATAACTGGACATTGGGGGCCAAGTTGGAGGAATTAAAAGGGCTTGACCTACTTTTGTGACTTTGTTGCTGTTGTGCCACGCCTCTTTGGGTCATCACAATCCCAGGCTCACGTAATTGCCTTTGCCAGTTTCATAGAATAACAGAGTTAGAAGGGGCCTTGGAGGTCATCTAGTTCAACCCCCCCTGCTCAAGCAGGAGAGCCTACTCCAAATATTAGCCTCCACCTAGGATCGAACTCACGGCCTCCTGATTGTGAGGCGAGAGCTCCACCACTAGGCCACCGGAGCTGCTTTTGGCTTCCAACAAGCCAAGTCAATGGAGGGGAGCCGGATTGGCTTAACGACGGTATGATTTGCTTAACGACTGCACTGATTTGCACAACAGCCTTGGCAAACAAGGTCGTGAAAAAAAGGTGGCACTTCCTTAACAACCACCCTGCTTAGCAGTGGAAATTCTGTCTCAGTTTTGGTTGTAAGTAGAGGACTACCCGTAATAATGTCATTTTAAAAAACATTTATGGAATAAATCGCTGCCCAAAGGAGAAAAAAAGTGGAGAAAAAGGGCACAAGGCATGGAGAATAAGATATTTGTAAACAAGCAAAGGATTTCCAATGATCCTAACGTTTAAAATTCCTTGTTTCATGAAGGAATGATTGAACGAAATGTTATAGGTTTGTCACATCACCTTTCAAGAAAAGCTCTATAAAGATCTACGTATCATCTTTAGTATTTAGTGTCACCGTTGTTTGTCACTGTTCCTCAAACAACGTGAAGAAAAAGTAAAGGAAAAAATAGCAAAAGAAAAGAAAAAGAGAGAGGGGGAAAAAAGAAAAATATTACTAAAAGAAATAATTTAAAAAGAAGAAAAATGAAGACAAAATATTTTAATTTCCTCCCCCTCTCCCCGCCCCCGGGCACCCTCGGGATGTCCTCTCACCTGGCCCGTGTGCTCCGTTTCATCCTTATTGATGAGATACATCAGGAAAAACCTACAAGGGGGAAGAAAGTCGGGAAAGGAATGACGTGGAAAGCTTTGCGAGGAAAGGAATCGTTGCCAAGCATATCTTCAGATTTAGAGAAACGTGTGTTGTACCCAGAGGAACACCTTTGAAGGGGTGGGAAATGCTGTCTCCTGGGAAGTGGACAAGTTGAAAGGAACGGGGAAGGGGAAAATGCTCCTCTTATCACCCTTCCTGCAATTCAACTTGTAGGTCCCCAATGAACTGGATGACAATAACTTGTGAGGCAGAAGAAGAACACCTAGCAAATAAGACAATGGTCAGATAAGAGAAATCTGAGTCCAAAGCAGACGTGTAGTTTGAGAAAGCGACTTGCAAGATTTGTCACCATAACCTTATAATAAAAGCAGTATTCGTGTTAATGACATTGGTTCCCTGGTCTGGACTACTTCTAAAGGCTGACTTTGGGCCCTACTTGCTTGGTAAGGGCAGGGGTGGGATTCCACCGGTATAACAACCGGTTCGGTGATCGCGCGCTCCGCATTTCAAAAAGGCAAGCCCAGACTTACCCTCAACTGCAGCCACTGTGAAGAAAACAGCTGAGGCGCGGCAAATCGCTCTGCCACGTGAATCAGCTGTGCTCTAAACAAGGGCAGAATGCCCAGAAAAAACCAGTGGCGGGCAGGCGGGCCCACTTCCTCGTTGCAGCGAACTGGTTCGAAGCGAGCTGAGCATTGGAACAAGGGGTTTGCACGAACCGGTCTGAACCGGTAGAATCCCACCCAGTGGTGGGATTCAAAGATTTTTTACCATCGGTTCAGTGGGTGTGGCTTGGTGGATGTGTTTTGCACGCGTGCACACACTTTGCTTGCATGTGTGTGCCAAATGCGTACTTTGCGCAGGCGCAGAGGCATTCCAACTCACCTCCTGCAAGCCTGCCCTCTCCCGGTCGCTTCAGCAGCTGCCGCACGGCATTCTGCTGCGCCGTGCAAAGCAGTTGCTCTTCAAAAGCAGAGGATAAAGGTGACTATGGGAGCCTGTACAGGCAGGTGGGCCCAACAGCAGAGCGGTGGAGAGAAATGGTTCGGTCTCTGCTGCTCATCGCCAGTACCGGCTCGGCAGAACCGGTCCGAACCGGTCGAATTCCACCCCTGAGTAAGGATCTGCCTCTCAGAGTCTTTGAATGAATGGGTTTCTGCTTTTCTGAAACTTTCAAGGCTACACGGTAAAAGCCAGGAAAAACCTGGCCGTCGCTTTCTCTTCCCCCCCGACCCGTGTCCTTTGCTTACATGTAATTTGCCAGGTTGTGCTCCTCCAACGTGTGGGTCTCAAAGCCGTGGGGCGTCGTGTCAAAATAGTCACTGCCAAGCCCGCAGATGAAACATTTGGTCTGTGGAGGACAACAAAGGGCAGTGAAGAAAAGGGAAAAACGGTCATAAAATGAGATTCTTAACACTCACTCTCCTTAGCCATGGAAATCCTGGTCGCAACTGTGGTGTATATCGAGAAGTGCCTGCACAGCATTTTTTTTTTTCTGTTCATAGACTGACTTTCTATGGGTGAATCCATGGGTGATTCCATTGTTCCACCAATCAAAGATACCATCATTTACATCTCCCAAAACAAAGAGGTGAAAGACATCTCTCTGGGAACAAAGCCCAGATGAAAAACTTCCAGATGTTTTTAAAGGGTTTTTAAAGAAGAGATTGGACAATCATTTGTCTGGAATGTTGTAGGAGTCTCTGCTTGATTGGGGGTGGTGGTGGTGTTGGACCAGAAGACCTCTAAGGTCCCTTCCAACTCTCTTGTGTTATTCTGCTAAAAACGACAAGTGATTCAGCGTACCTCCATGTCCTCCTTCACTTGCTCCTGCTGGTCTCTCAACTCCCCAAAGGCATCAATGATCAAACCTGGGGAAATGGAGAAAGAAGTCCAGTGTCAGGGGTTCCGACGGATGCCCTAATTAATTCATGAGCCTCGAACCAAGTTTCAAAAGAAATCAAATTATTTATTAGGAGCAACATGTCCGCACTTTTCCCAACTGCGGTCGGCTCTGCCCTACGTAATTTACTGTTCACCCACGATCCTGTTTCCCCCCTCCTCCCAGGGTGTCATAAATCACATTCTCCAACGAAGCACTTTCACGTGGGCTCTGGAAAACACGCCTTTCCGGCTGGTCTTGGTAACTTGAGACACAATCTGGAGAAAGGTATGTGTGAAATGTGCTTCTGATCATAGCAACGAACTGCTCCATCGGATCTCCTCCCCACTCCTTCTTAGGGCAACTCAAAAGCAAGTAAGGAATGCTTTATGAGTTGACATCCAGAAGTCAAAGAGAAAAGAAAAACTTGAGATTAAGGAAAGCAAAGCCACTTTCCCGAAAACCACTACTACCCTCTACAAAAGGCAGGGTGAGTCACTGGAAGAGACATCCTGAAGATGCTCAAAGACATCCTTGCTTCACACATACTGTGTAGAGCAGGGGTCTCCAACCTTGGCAACTTTAAGACTTATGGACTTCAACTCCCAGAATTCCTCAGCCAGCTTTGAAGCAATTTTGTTCCCGCAAATACTGGTTCAAAAAAAGGAAGTAGACGAGAGACACAGTGATACCACAGAGACTCGGGAAGGGATGTAGGCCCACCCATCTCACCTTGGATGATGGCCAACAAGATGACAATGACAAAGAAAAAGAAGGTGATGTCAAAGATCACGCGATAGAGCTCATATTCGTCTCCCGCCGGATCTTCAATCTCATCCCCGATGCCGCCACCGGCTCTCACTCCAACATACATGTGGAAGAGGTAACACTGATGGGAGAAGAGTAGAAAGCATCCAGATTCAAGATCGAGGGCACAATTCAGCCTTCCCAACCCCGATGCCTCCAAACGTCCAGGAGAACGTTGGTCTAGGAAGTCTCGTTGTCTCTCACCGTCATCATGTCATCACATTTCATGTCAGGTTCATCCTCATCCTCGCTCTTGTTATAGAACTTGCGAAAGAAGTTGAAGGCTACCACGGTGTAAAGGTAGACAACCACTGCCAGCAACCCCACGGTCATCATCAGCTGGGGAAAGAGGACACAGGTGAAGGAGATGGTGAGTTGAGTAGCAGGAAAGAATAGCTTTCTCTTGGTGCCTATGAAGCAGAGGACTCCTCTCTCAAAACTTCCCTCATCTCAACTGACCTGTTTGCCATTGTGGGTGACAGAGGACAGGATGGTCCGTAAGGTCTTGACACCCATGGCAATGTCCAGAAGGTGGCTAGCGAAGAAGAAGTTGTTGTAATGGCCAAGGACGGACATCACCATGTACCAGAAGAGATACAGGAAGGACTGCAGTGAGAGGGAGAGAAAGAAGAACTCAATGGAAAACAAATGAACAAATATCCTTGGGTCTTGATAGTAGGTAGAGGAAAGTATTGCTAAGATTAATCTGGCAAGACTGATGTCACAAGGACCAAGAAGAACACATGGAATTACTTCGCAATTTCCTCATTGCTTTTCCACTTATAGACAGAATCTTGCCAGACTAAAGCAACTATCGGCATAACTTTAGATATATCCTGTGAATTGCTAAGGAGGGGCTGTCTTAGCCCTCTCCCTCCCTCCCAGACATGCCAAACTCCACCGCCTCTTTGTCCTCTGGGAAAATGGGGCAAAACTCCCTTAACAGTCTCGCTTAGCCACATAAATTTTGGGCTTGATTGTGGTTGTAAGTCTGAGACTAGCTCTATGTTCCTTGGCATCTGCTGATGTTTCGCTGAGTTAGTGTCGACCCTTAAGAACCACGAGGACAGAATTTCTCCAGAATGAAAGGAGGGTCAGTATATCTATTTTAGTGGTGAATTTCTCTGCCTTGGGGCCAAGTCCTTACTTACGTTATCCGTGAAGATGACGCCAAGTTTCCAGATCTTGTACTTAATGTCAATGGAACTAATCCTGAGAGAGAGAGAGAGAGAGAGAGAGAGAGAAACAGCAAGAGCAGTTAGACTTAGGCTTAGAAGCGCGAGGAAGGAAGGAAGGAAGGAAGGAAAGAAGGAAGGGAGGGCGCACTTATACTTAGAAGCACTTGGTAGGTAGGAAAGGAAGATAAATAGCACTTATACTTAGAAGCACAAGGAAGGAAGGAAGGAAGGAAGGAAGGAAGGAAGGGCACACTTACACTTAGAAGCATTAGGAAGGAAAGAAGGAAGGAAGGAAGGAAGGAAGGAAGGAAGGAAGGAAGGAAGGAAGGAAGGAAGGAAAGAGAAATAGCACTTATACTTAGAAGCACTAGGAAGGAAGGAAGGAAGGAAGGAAGGAAGGAAGGAGAAAAGGAAGAGCAATAGCACTTAGACATACTTAGAAGCACTTAGAAGGAAGGGAGAGAGGAAGGAAGGAAAGAAGGACTTATATACCGCTTCATAGCGCTTTACAGCCATCTCTAAGCGATGATTCCCTTAACAATTGTGCAAAGAAAGGTTGTAAAATGAGGAAAAACTCACTCAGCACACATCTTACATAACAACACAAATTTGTGTTGTTCAATTGTGATCATAAGTCAAGGAGTACCAGTACAGTACTCTACAGTAATGTGCGAAAAGGTGTTACAGATACAAAAGAAATATTAACACCCTGAATTGCAACTTTAAATGCTCCCTCTGCCGTCTACCTGTCAGGGAGACGATGCCAACTTGAGCATTACCTGGTGCCCCATATCTCCCTCTCTCTCTCTCTCTCTGCCCCTCCTGTTTTGCCCAACTTTTCTCACCAAGTCAAGAACGACGTGTCCGGCTCCGATTTCTTTTCATTTTGGGCTGAGATCTCTAGGCTGGCCAAATCTATGCCCAAAAGTTCTGCGATCCTTTCTCGCCCGTAAATGTCGCCATATTTGTCTAGAACCTGGAAAAGAAGGGAAGCGACAATTAGGCATATTGTCAACTCATAAAATATTTCCATGGTCTTTTTAGAGTTGCCAACAGACAGGGAGGGTGGGAGCAGTGCGACAGCTTGTAAAACCGAAATTGCATTCCACAGATGTTTTCACAGATAGTAACTAGGCAACTGACGTTTCTACCATGCAAATATCTAACTGGAGAGCATGACTGATGACTCTGGGCTATGGATGTGTCCCATTGGAGAATATGAATTAGGATACACCCAGGGGGTGGGGGAAAACCAGGGTCAAGGGTGACAGTGAATGATGTGCCTCAGAGTCGGCTGCACCCAGGCAGTGCTGGATAATTTAACTCCCAATAAATCCTTTTTAAGTTTTGGAAGTTTGGCTCGAGACTCATGATTTAAATGGGGAAACTGCCAGAATCCTGACACATATTTTAAAATCACAACCATACAGGTAGCCCTCAATGTAGGGCCATAATTGGGACAGGAACTGCCCTAGCTAAGCGATGGGGGTCATTCACCAAGTCATTCCCAAGCTTATGACCTTTATGTACTCAGGTCGTTAAACAAATCACAGGGTCGTTCAGCGAATCTGGCTTCCCCAATTTATTAAAGCCCCCTGAGAAGAACAGAAATGGTGATCTCATGACCCTGGGACGCTACAACCATCATAAACTCACGCCGGTTGCCAAGCGTCCAAATTTCGATCGTGTGACCGCAGGGATGCCACAATGGATGTAAGTGCGAGGACCAGTTCATGAGGTATGTTTTCAGCATCATCATAACTTTGGTCATTAAAAAATAATCGTGTCAACTCATAAAATATTTCCATGGTCTTTTTAGAGTTGCCAACAGAAAGGGAGCGGGGGAAGCAGTGCAGCAGCTTACAAACCCAAAGTCCATTCCATAAATGTTTTCGAAGATAGTAACTAGGTGACCGAAGTTTCTGCCCCGCAAAATTCTAGCTGGAGAACGTGATTGATGACTCCGGGCTATGGAGGTGTCCCATTGGAGAATATGAATTACGATACACCCAGAGGGGTGGGGTGGGGGGAAACCAGGGTCAAGGGTGACAGTGAATGATGTGTCTCAGAGTTGGTTACACCCAAGCAGTGCTGGCATGTTAACTCCCAATGAATCCTGTTTAGTTTTGGAAGTTTGGCTCGAGATTCATGATTTAAATGGGGGGGTAACTGCCGGAATCCTGACAGTAAGTTGAGGATTACCTGTACAGATAGATTCTCTTAGCCTTTTGACAACAATCAGGTTCTCTCTGCTCACCCAACCTCCTCTGGAAGAGCACAGGACTTGTGGGCAATCTTACCTTCCTTTTGATAAACTTATCCCAGTAATTGCTCGGGAACGACCTGGCACAGCAGAAAAAAAATGGGAAGCAATTTTTAAAAAGCCATCAGGGATACGATTCCCTCATCCCTCATCCCACATCCAGACCTTCCATTCTTTTAATCCTCCTGCAAAGTCCATTCTAATCTCTCCCTCCTTTTGCAAACTGATTTTGCCATGAATTCGGGTCCTGCCTTTCAGAGGTGTGGTATTCAGCCGGTTTGGACTGGTTCTGGAGAACCGGTAGCGGAAATTTTGAGTCGTTCGGAGAACCGGCCAATCCCACCTCTGACTGGCCCCGCCAACCCCATCTCTTCTCTGCCTCCCATTGAGTCCCAGCTGATCGGCTGGCTCTTCTTTGATTGCCCTGCACAGGAGAACGGAGCTGGAAAGCAGGTTAGTGGGGTGGGGAGGGAATGGGGGGTTTTGCAGTAACCTTCCCCTGCCCCGCCCACCAAGCCCCGCCCGCAGAAAGTAAAAACAAAATTGAATCCCACCACTGCCGACTTAGCCATGAAAACTCAGGAATTCTGGGAGTTGAAGTCCACAGATCGTAAAGGGGCCATAGATGCCGACCCCTGGCCTAAACCCAGAAACAGCACACCATCCGGCCATACACCAACTACAAACAGTTCAAATTGGCCAATAAAGGACTCTTACTAGGAGAAGGACAGACAGAGCGTAGAGGCAGAGTCAAGAGAGGAAGTAGCGTGGAGTCATTACGTTCCCATAAATGGCGCGTCCAATCCCTTCTCGATTTCCGTTAACTCTTAGCTAGTGCCAATTTAGTACTGACCCGTTAATTGTCCGGATTCTTGTGTATAGCTATGAGCAATAAATCAGCTTAATCTGCACTCCGGATTCTTTGTGCCTGACCTACTTCCGCCCAGGGTGGGCTGCTGGGGGTTCACGGGGGTTTGGGAAAGGCCCTAGCTAAGATTCTGAGCAGTTTGGAGAACCCCCCCAAATCCCACTCCTGGCTGGCTCCGCCCACACTGCCCCGCCCCTCACAGGAGTCCCCAAACGGCCTGTTTTGGATGCAGGTAAATGCAGGGCGCGCATGGAGGCTTGAGGAGGGTGAAAAACGGGCCTCCTGGAAATTCGGGAAGGCCAGAAATGGGCCTGTTTCTGGCTTTAGGATAGCCTCCGGAGCGCGGGAAGGCCGTTTTCACCCTCCTGGAGGCTCAAGGAAAGACTCTGGAGTCCGGGGAAGGCAAAAACTCCCCGCCACCGTCGTGGTGCAGGAGGCCAATTGGCCATGCCCACCATGGCCACGCCCAACTAGCAACCAGGGAGTTGCTAAAATTTTTAAGGCCCAGCCCTGCTTCCGCCGTTTGCAATTTTTAGCTCAATGACGTCATAGGCTCAGAACTGAGAGGGGCTGCCGTGGCTTGGGAAGCGAGGGGAGTTCTGAGGGGCCGCCCCATAACCCGTTTCCCTTTCCTTCACTCACGGAGCGTTGAGCACCAGACGATCCCACTGGCCTTTGATGTCGTCATCCTCCGGTTGCTCCGTGATATAGAGCCCGCTAAACTCCAACGTACGGGCCAGCTCCTTCTCACGCTTGAAGATGACCAGTGGCACCTTGAGACAGTTGTAGCCGATGATGCAGAGGAACGCGACCAGGGTGTGGATGATGGACAGGAATTGTAAGGCTGGCTGCATGTAGCCCGTGCTCTCCTCCAGGAAGAAGTAGACCACGCTGTCTTCTTCGTCCTCGTCCCCGTTGCCATTGCCATCCCCGTTGCCCCCATTGTCGTCTCCACCGAAGCCGGATCCTGCCCCGGATCCTGCATCCAGATCGCCTTCAAGACCAGAGCCTTCAAACTCCTCCTCACCGGGGGGCGTGTCTGACACCTAGGAAATCGAAATCATTAATACGACGAAGAAACGATAGATTAGGGGTGTCAAACTCGATTTCATTGAGGGCCACATCAGGGTTCTGTTTGACCTCAGGGAGACAAGGAGGGGGCATGGCCAGCTCAATGTCATTCATCAAGGCTCCGTTTCCGGCCACGATGTCCTCCTGCAGTACTCTGCCAGTGAAAACGGAGCCTGGGAGGGCTCCCGAGCTCCGTTTTCACTGGCAGAGGGCTGCAGGAGATTGTCGTGGCTGGAAACGGAGCCCAGGAGGCCTGCATGCGGCTCTCCCGAGCTCCGTTTTCACTGGCAGAGGGCTGCAGGAGGCCGTCGTGGCCAGAAATGGAACCTCGGAGGGACACACGCAGGTCTCCCGAGCTCTGTTTTCACTGGCAGAGGGCTGCAGGAGGTTGTCGTAGCTGGAAACGGAGCCCAGGAGGCCTGCATGCGGCTCTCCAAAGCTCCATTTTCACTCGCAGAGGACTGCAGGAGGCTGTTGTGGAAGGGTACACATAGGCCTCCCGAGCTCCATTTTCGCTGGCAGAGGCACCACAGGCCGTTCCTTCACTGTTTCCAGGATGGGCCTGTGGGACAGATCTAAGCACCTTGCGGACCAGATCCAGCCCGTGGGCCTTGAGTTTAACACGCCTGCTACAGATGAAACCAAGATGAGGGTCTAGAGGAGGAAAAGCTAAGGTCCGGGCTTACAATCCTGGCTTTTCTCTAACTTGGGTCACTCTGCTTAAGGGTATTATGACCATTTATATCCCAGGTAGATGTCCATTCCTTTCTCTATCCCAACCTCTTAATACAGGGGTGTCAAATTCAAGGTCTGTGGGCAGGATCCACCCTGCGGGGTGCTTAAATCTGACCCACAGGGCCAGCCTGGAAATAGCAAAGGACCGGCTATGCAATGCCCCTCCCACATGCCCCATTTTGGCCAGCAGGGTGTTACAGGGGCCGTCCAGGCTGAAAATGGGGGGGGAGGACCTTGAGGGGGCCTCATGTGCTCCCCCAGACCCCGTTTTGACCTGCAGGGTGCTGCAGGAGTCACCTGTCCCATCTCCCTCCCGCCCCTCCCCCCGGCCAGCCCAAGGAGAACTACAATGCTGATCTGGCCCTCGAAGAAATCTAGTTTGACACCCCCGTCTTAATAGATTCCGCTATCAAGTTCTTCTGGATCCCAGGATGCTCTGCGAGAAATGACAAGACCAGGGACATCCAACTTTGGCAACTTTTAAGACCTGTGGACTTCAACTCCCAGAATTCCTCAGCCAGCCAGGCTGGCTGGCTGAGGAATTCTGGGAGTTGAAGTCCACAAGTCTTGGAAGCTGCCGTGGTTGGACATGGATTTAAACTCTTGGCTCACTCTGGACCCTCTCACCCTCTTCCCCAAACTACTTGGGAAGCCCTGATAACGGGGTCCCTGCATCTCTACTTCCAAGAGGCAACTCCCATCCATCCGCAAACCTTTTACCTTATAAAAAAGCAAGATGAAGTTGATGGCAAAGGCCAGGAAGAGGGCGAGGAAGCGCAGGTTGTAGAAATTCCTGGACAGGTAATTCTGAAAAGATGAGAAGATCAGGTTACGTGTAACGGGATGGTTTGTTCCGCTTCAGAAACCTAAAAGTTTTCACGATTAAACTGTTTCCAAGTCCAAGATAAATTCGCTTCATGTTCTGACCAAGGCTTATTGAGACACTAACAAACACACGCTAGTCCCAAAACCGTTTTGTCTTTATTTCAATGGCTGTGAATTTTAGTCATTCACAGCCCGTAATGAGTCTCAAACAGTTTGGAAATAGTCCCAAAGACTGCAACTCCCAGAATTCCCCAGCCAGTTCTGCTGAAGTCCCCCCATCTTAAAGTTGCCAAGGTCAATAGATCCTGTTCTTCAGCACACATGATTGTCAATCCAAGCGAGACCCCTTACCAGGAATTTGACCCTCTGGATCTCCAACTCGTTCCAAAACTCGGAGACTCCCTGTTCCTCTTCTTTCTTCTCTGGCCGCTGGGCCATCTTCTTCTTCTTTTTCTCCTCCTGGGCTGGTGGCGGTGATGGCGGCTCTTCCTCCTTGTGTTCTTTCTCTTTCTTCTCCTCTTCTTCCTTGGCAGCCTTCTCTCCGTTTTCCGCACTGGAAGGGCACAGAAACCATGTTGCCGATTATCATCACCGGCCATCCTCCCAGACCCTGTGCCCAACCCCAAGAGTAGTTATGGCAGAAATCTCCAAACTTGGCAACTTTAAGACTTGTGGACTTCATAATTCCTCAGCCAGCCATGCTGGAATTCTGGGAGTTGAAGTCTACAACTCTTAAAGTCGCCAACTTTGGAGACCCTGCCTTAGGCAATGAAAACTTCTGCCTTATTTTTTTTTTTAGTGGGTTCTGATGAATTCGACAACCACAGATGGACCTCCAAACCACTCAACTCAGCTTTCTCTGGTTCTGCTGGTGGTTCCTCAATCTTCTCCAGCTCCTCCTCCCCTGCCTCTTCTTCCACCTGGAGAACCACAAGAGCAACCGTCAATGAATTGGATCCAAGAGAAGAAACAAAAGGGAGGGGCATGATTCAGAAAGGAAAATATTATGAGATTTCAAGAGGGTTATCCGTCAACTAAAAAATACTCCTTTGTTCTTTTTAGTTGCCAGCAGAAAAGGAGTGGGGAAAAGCAGTGCATTCCTTAAATGCCTCAGATAATTAAAGCTGTTGGCACACAAAATTATTACCGGAGAGCATGATTGACTACTCTTGGCTATGGACGTGTCCCATTGGAGAATATACATCCAGGGGGTGGGGGGAAGACCAGGGTCAAGGGTGAAATGAATAACGTGTCAGAGTCGGCTTCAACCAAGAAACACCGACATATCAACTCCTAATCAATCAATCTTTTTTACTCTGAGAGAGGCGGCTAGAGACTTGTGATTTGAATGGGGGTGGATTTGTTGGGAGCCCTGACAGCATCACTCAGTACTAACGTGGCATCCTGTAGCTTGAAGAAGTAAACTATGGATGATTAGGGGACTGGAGGCTCAAAACATCTGAAGGATGCTTGCAGGAATTGGGTACGCCTAGTTTAATGAAATTAGGATAGCAGTCTTCCAATATTTTGAGGGGCTGCCCCAAAGAAGAGAGGATCAATTCATTCTCCAAAGCCCCTGAAGGCAGAACGAGAAGCAACGGATGAAAACTAATCAAGGAGAGAGCCAGCCTAGAAATAAAGAGACGCTTCCTGACGGTAACAACAAATTAATCAGTGGAACAGCTTCCCTTCAAAAGTTGTGGGTGCTTATCTCATTAAGAAGAGATTGGATAGCACTTTGTCCGAAATGGTCAAGTAGGATGTTGGATTAAGAGGCCTTCAAGGTCTCCTCTCTGTTATTCTGTTATAGCCCAACATCCATGGAGCCCGAGAAAGCAAACTCCAGCCCTACTTTGGGGATACAGGGATTTGAGGGGCTTCCCTTTGCCACTAGATCTGAGCACAGGTCCGGCCCCCCTTCACTTTCCTTCAAAACTAGGTTTTGGGACCAGGTTAGGGGCTTCTCTTAGGCTCATGTCCCCTGAACATAGTTTCTCTCCCTCCTTTCTTTTTCCTCTTTGTCCACTTATTCTATACTCTATGTGCATGACTGCATTCCCACTCATGTTAATAATACTATTACTAAATTTGCAGAGGATACAACAGTGGTGGGACTCATCTCTGGGGGTGGGATGGGGGCATGAGTCTGCCTAGCGAGATGAGATGGACCAACGGTTGCTTTCGTGGTGTGGAGACCATAACTTGGTCCTCAACACCAAGAAGACCAAGGAGCTTATAGTGGACTATGGAAAGAATACATCAGACCTCCAGCCCTGGCTTATCAAGGGAGACCGAGGGGAGCAAGTGGCCAGTTTTAAGTTTCTGGGTGTTACCCTAAAAGGGGACCTGACCTGGGGTGCTCACATTGCAGCCCTGGTCAAAAGGGCCCAGCAGAGATTAGACTACCTGAGGTTTCTCAGGAAATGACAACTGGATGAAAAACTGTTGGTGACCTTCTACCGCTGCACCAGAGCGAGTGTCTTAACTTACTACACACCTGTGTAGGGTTTGCCACTTGCACAGGGGCAGATAGGACGGCACTCTAGAGGGTTAACATCATTGCCCAGAGGATCCTGGGTTGCCCTCTCCCCTCTTTGGAAGAGCTTTATAGCTCCTGTTCCCTTAAGAAAGTTCAAAACATCCTCAAAGATCCATCTCATCCTGGGAACCCTTTTTTTTTTAACTATTACCATCTGGCAGCCGGTACAGGACAATAATAAAAACAAGGACAAATAGGCTGAAAAACAGCTTCTATCCTAGGGCAGTAGCTCTTTTGAATTCTACTGAATAGTGCGGTGTTGGAGGGTTTCGGTTCAATGTGTGGCGTGTGAAGGATGTATGTTTGTGTTTATTTTCATGGTCATGATGTGCACTGAAGATGATGTTTGATTTCGTTGTACGAGGTGCAAGGACGATAAACTTAACTAAACTAAACTAAACTTTGGACCTTCCCAGCAACTCCCACCCCCTCAAGCCCCAATCATACCAATTTCCTCTTGAGGATGGGTGTCCCTTCAGGTGTGGGAGGTTCCACTGGGGTGGTGTCCCCCATATCTCCAAGCCCGCCAGGTGCATCAGGGGCCATGGAACGGAAATGCTCTTTCTTGGGATCCCCTCCAAAACCTTCTCCACCTTCACCTGAGGCGTCCTCCTTGCCGGGCTCTGTAATATTGATTTCTTCTCCTTCTTCCGTCACCTGCTCATCTTCATCAGAAGGAGCCACGTCTCCGTGGACCTCATCCTGAGTTGGATCAGGCATGCTGGCCAACAGTTCGGTCATGGTGAGCTTCTTGGCCTCCTCCACTAAGCCACCACCAAAGAGGGTGTTCCAGATGAGCAGGAAGAAGCACTTGAGGACGCTATAGAAGAAGACAAGGATGCCCATTAAGATGGTGTAAAGGAAGGTGGCCACTCCCATGGCCATCTCCTTGACTGTCATCTTCTTGACTTTGCGGAACTGGCGGCGGATGTTGCGATAGGTGAACATGCGGAAGAAATTCAAGATGCTCTCCACGAAGTCCCTGAAGACCGAAGACCCCTCCGAAGGTGCCGACACACTCTCGGCTTCCCCGCTTTCTGCGCTTTCTCCTTCTTCCTCCACCTCCTCCTGCGCCTCACCTTCCTCCTCTGAAATCTGGGAGGCAATCTGCATCTCAAAGATGGTGTCCTCACAGAAGTTGATGAAGAGCTCCATCTTCTCCGACTCGCCCCCTTCGTTGACCACGTCGAAAATGAATTGTCTCTTGGATTCCTTGACCTGGGGCATCTCCCACTGGGTCTTATTGGTCTCGCTGATCTCAAAGTAGATGCGTTCGATGCGCTTACTGGCACCCATGATCTCAATGCGGCCCAGGAAGGGATTGAAGTAGTTGAGGATGCATTCGGCCAGTTCCAGGAAGGTTTTCAGGCGGGCGTCATGAGGCATGTGCTCCGAGAGGTTCGTCAGCAGCACAGCAATGTTGAAGCCAATGTCTTTGGCGGGCTCCTGGAAGCGGTTGGCAAACTCCTCATAGTCTATCATCTCGTTCTCATCCGCTTCTGAGCAGGAGAGAAGGAACTGGATCTCCGATGGTGTGTACTGCTTCTGACTGTCCATGGCCTTCTGGAAATCCTTCTTGGAGATGAGGCCCCGCGGATCGGTGATGTAATCGCGGAAGGCATCGGATGCCACAATGTCCTTCAGTTTCAAGAACATGTCGAAGAATTTGAGGATCATCTCCACGTTGCTGGACGACTCCACCAACATGTCCACCATCTGCCGAGCGATGGTGCCGTGCACCACGTTTCCTGAGTAGATACACCAAGGATGCAAATTATACTTTGACAAAGGGGCTGAACGCGGAAGACAGACAAGAAAGTTATGCTGGCAGGGATATTTTGTTCCTCAAGAGACAGGATATGTAAGTCATAACCAGACATTTGGTAGACGACACAATTACACAAGGTCATAACTGTCCCAAAAGTGCCTTGTCAAAGGGCAACTGGACATTGTTTTTCCTTTAAGATATTTTGCTTCTCGTCCAAGAAGCTTCTTCTCATCTCATCTCATCTTCTTATCTTCTCATCCAAAAACTTCTTCAGTTCTGAACTGAAGAAGCTTCTTGGATGAGAAGCAAAACATCTTCTAAGAAAAACAAAGAAGCCCAATTTCCTTTTGAAAAAGCTCTTTTGGGACAAACATGACTTGAATGACTGGGAATATCCTTAGACAATGTCATAATTGTGTCATTTAGTCTAGATATACCAGGAATACAAGTGATGGCAGTGCCCTGCCTTCCTCTTTGTTCCGTTCATATCTTTGCTCTGCCTTAGTAAATATTTTTTTTCCTACTCATTGCTTCAAGTTCTCCAACCTGCAGAAAATAGGCCCAAACGTGACCCGATTTGAACACTTGGTCTAAGAATGAAACTGTGCGACTCACATAATCAGAGAGCTAATTTGGCCTAGTGGTTAAGGCACCAGGCTAGAAAGTGAGAAATCATGAGTTCAAGTCCTACCTCAGCCATTGCCTAAGACAAGGGTCTCCAAATTTGGCAACTTTAAGACTTTTGGGGTGACTTTGGGCCAATCCCGAGGAGACTGGGAGTTCTAGTCTCACCATAGCTATGAAAGCCATCTGGGTGACTTTGGGCCAATCACTTTCTTTCAGCCCAACCCACCTCACATATTTGCGTCGTGGGGAAAATAGGAGGAGAAAAGTGTGTGTCAGCCTTGGAAGCTATTTTTTACTTGGAAGCTTCGTGGCTGACACATTCAGTGCCTGGGAATTTGGGAGAGGGGATTTCATAGTGAGGCAGAAGATTAGACACAACAACATTCCTTTCTCAGAGAGTCAAGGACATGTTGCCCTGCACCTGGAGGGGAGTGTCTGGAGGAAGGTCTCCTGTTGGGACGATAATTTGATTGGGCCATATGACGAACTGATGAGTGCAGGGGATGGATCTTTGAATTTCTTTTGGAGAAGGGCAAACCCAGAACTCGCAGGTTTTGGGTTTTCCCAGATGTGCCAAGATGACAACTCTAATAAAATGAAACTTTGAAGAAATGCTTGTCTCGGAGTTGATTGATTTGGTGCTGGTTAGTTGGAATGCCGACAGTGTTGGACATGTTCATGGTCGCACGTCAAGGGCCAGCTATATCTAGCATTGGCCTTCAGATTTTTGGCCAGAGACCCAGTCAGAGTCCAGCTGGAGATGCTAGCAACTGAGCCTAAGAGCCTATAAGGTAGGAGGTTCTGCCTTTAGAAGCCAACATGGAGTCCCACAAATTCCTCCAGAAGGTTGCCAGGTGATCACCTTCCAGCAGAGAAAGCAGCATCACCACCATGTCCTTTTGAAGGTCCAACAGCTCCTTCAGAAGTGCAATTTGGCTGGAATCCTGGAATAAGAACAAGCAAGTGTCAGATACAGAATGCAATGAAACGGGACGTATTTCTCAGGTAGGGCCTGAGGCCTCTTTGAAACACACCTCCTCAAGGAGAACCCCCCGGGCCTTCTTCGCTTAACAATCCTTCACTCATCAATATTCTAATCTTCACCCACGCTCCAGTTGGCTTCCAGCCAGCCATCAAAACCATCAAAACGCAATCACTGATAGGTGCGAAGGAGGAGGTTGTGTGAATCCATGGGTAAAGGTAGATTTACACAACCTGTGCTCTAAACCCCACTGGGGTCCCATAGCACATGGACACTAAGTCTAGAGGGACATTTGGGATCAGAAGTCAGTTTAGATCGTGGCTTTTCAACCGCAGCGACTTTAAGACACGTGGACTGCATCTCCCAGAATTGCTATTCTGGGAAATGAAGTCCACGCATCTTAAAATTTCTGAGGTTGAGAAACATTGCTTTAGATATGTCCAACCTGACTAGTTATGGTCCTCATCTGCTACACGTAGAAAAAAAAAACCCAACTAGATGACCTTTCCCAAAGCCTCCCGTTCTCTTTGGAGGATGTCAACCAGGAACTAACCCTCAAACACATATATAGAGTGCATTTCTTCCTTTGAATGAGTGGTGGCTTCCTTACCTCTGGGTAAGATTCGCTCCGAAATTGCTCCTCGTGGGCAGCGCAACAAAGAGATAGTTTGGTGAGTGAAAGAGATAATTCTGGAAAGATGTCTCCTCGCTGAAGTTGTCCCAATGCCTATTCCCACCCCGTGAGGAAGCTGACATGGGGTTCTGTGCTGTGAGGAAGCTGACATGGGGTTCTGTGCTGTGAGGAAGCTGACATGGGGTTCTCCAGGCCAACTTCTTCCTTCCTTCTCTGACAATGACTTTGAGCAGAGGTCTCCAAAGTTGGCAATTTAAAGACTTGGGGATTTAAACTCCCAGAATTCTAGGAGTTGAAGTCCACAAGTCTTAAAGTTGCCAACTTTGAAGACCTCTGACTTAGAGAGAGCTTCCCCAGTCCGACTTGTTCCCCAACTGTGCCCCTGCAATCAAGCCCACTCATCCACCTCGCTGTTAGTGGTCCTCTGCTTCTCCATCCTTCTACCCAATGCCTCCCCCTCTATCCCTCCCGCTCACCCGCCAGCGCCTGCAAGGTTACCAAATGAGCTTGGGTGGGAAAATGAGCCAGCAAGCCCAAGCAATGGCCAAGCGTGGAGCCTTCAACCACCTCCTGATAGATGGAAGGAGATGGATAAAGCGGAGAGGACACAGCAGAAGAGGGAAAGCCGGATGAGGAACGAAAAGAAGCCACTGCAAAATGGAACCAGATCAAACATGCTATTCCTCCATGTTCAAGTTAACGGAGCAGGAGGCATCTGGCAGTTCGACGGAAGGCAAAATTTGTAGGTCAGGATTGAACCTGGGGTGGGGTGGGGGCTTGGCGCTCTCTGAGCTCGGTGGGTTTTCTTGCAGATGTTTCATGACCCAACTAGAGAACATCATCAGTGCTAGAAAGGAGGAGGGGGAAGAGGAGTGGGAATATGGGGTGCTTGGTGCTCTCTGAGCTTGGTTGTTTCCTTGCAGACATTTCATGACCCAACTAGGGAACATCATCAGGGCTAAAAGTAGCTTGTCCTATCCATGTTGGTGGGGGTGTACTTGGTGGCTCCCTGATTAGGACGTTGCTTGCTGTTTGCTTGTCTGTGTTGATAGTTCCTGCTACCAAGTTCCTTTACTCCTGTCAAGGAACTACCGAGAGAACAAGCTCCACTCCCTGCTAGCACTGATGACATTACCTAGTTGGGTCATGAAATGTCTGCAAGTAAACAACCAAGCTCAGAGAGCACCAGGGACCCCACTGTTAAGACTTTAAGACGGGTGGGTTAAAAAGTAAAGGCTGCCTTGGGCTGACCTTGACCCCGAGTAACCATATAGACAACAGCTATAGGACATTTCCTCTTCAATATACCGATTCAGCTCACAGGAGTCTCCATGCGGCCCCATTTTGCAGGGAGGGGGAAAAAAAACGGGGCCTTCTGGAAGTTGGGACCTGTTTCCAGCTTCCGGAGGGCTTCCAGAGCCCGGGGAAGGCCATTTTTGCCCTCCCAGAGGCCCGGGGGAGGACTCTGGATCCTCGGGAGGGTGAAAACGGGCCTCCCCTTGGCTCCGGAGCCCCACCGGAAGCCGGAAACAGGAAGTTCCAGTAGGCCCTCGCCCACCCAGCAACCGGGCAGCAAACCGGCTGCTGGGGTTTTTGAATGCCACCCCTGAGGATGCCGTCCGTATAAGCTTAATCGATCGATTGATGGGTCCGGCCCAGTGAAAAGAAAGGGAGAGTAAAGGGGAGGGGCGTGGGAATGGAAAGGAAGCGTGGGAATTGGGAGGTTCAGCCAAAGGGGTGGGATGGAGGGACGCAGACCACAGAGAAGGTTCTTACGCCATTTCGAAGCTCTGGCGTCGTCTGTTACACATTGGGAAAAAAAAGTATTATTCAGAAGGGATTCTCAGAGAGATTTATTTCTTTTGTATTCTGCTAGGTTTTGGCTCCTGGCAGTATGGTCAGCCTGCCCTCAAAACAGTTCTGGTAGGGCGGGAACCACCATTTCAAACTCAATTTTTTGTTTTAATGCAAAGCATTTTGCACACCTCCACACTATCCATAAAGGAGAATATTTGGAGCTTGGGGTTGAAATGAAGGGTCCTTGGTGCTCTCGGAGCTTGGTTGTTTCCTTGCAGGCGTTTCATGACCCAACTAGGGAACATCATCAGTGGTAGAAGAGAGTGGGGATTGCTCTTATTTTTATATCCTGGTGGCTTTTCCTGTCAAGTGTTGGTGGAAATAGCCTTGGAGTCTCTTTGGTTGAGCATTTTACTGCTAGGTTGTTTGTCAGTTCCTTCATTGGGGTCTTCTTTACTTCTTGAATGTTGGTCTGATATTAATCTTGGAGGTCATCTATACCGGGGTCTTCAACCTTGGCAAGTTTAAGACGTGTGGACTTCAACTCCCAGAATTCCTCCTCCAGTCATGTTAGCTCAGGAATTCTGGGAGTTGAAGTCCACACGTCTTAAATTTGCCAAGGTTGGAGACCCTTGATCTATGATCATCTGGGTGCTAATTGCTGGCGGGGAGATGTTTGGGTCAACCAGAGAGCCTCTGACCCCATCCTCACCAACACCGATGGAGGAAGCCATTAGGATATAAACTGAGTGCAAATCCCACTCCTTACCAGCACTGATGATGTTACCTACTTGAGTAACGAAACGTCTGCAAGAAAACAGCCAAGCTCAGAGAGCACTCAGGGATCCTTCACACCGTTATGGATAAGCCAGCTGGCCACTAGTTTCGGGCTGCAGAAGGGCAGCGGCTGTTAAGAATGGCTGGACTTCAGCTCTGAAACCCGAGAGTCGACTGCTATCCCAAATGATGTGACAAGTATCAATGCTTTCTTTCCTTTCTTGCTAGATAATTAGTCAACAACCGGAGATCAGAGCTACAGGTTTGGAGGGAAAAGATACTGGTTGCTAGCACGCAAAATCTGCGTTTGGATTTAAAGCATTTAAAGGTATTTCTTTTCTTAGGCAAGGTAGTCTCTTCCAGAGCTCAAACCAAGAACCCTTCCGGTCTTCTCCCTCTCTTAATTTTCTCTTTACCTGAGCCAGTTTCATCATCATGTGAGCAAAGACGTGGAGGAAACCAATGACTGCGTCCCACAGTCTGCTGTGTGCTAAACTCTGCTGGTTCCCAGTGCAAGGTCCCTGAGAAGACAAGATGATAATGAGGATGAGGATGAGGATGATAATAATAATAATGACAACAACTTGAATACCCTGATTCTAAAAAAACCCACCCTACTTGGAACAGCTTATATCCTCCGACGCTACCTGAACCATTCCTAGGTCCTTGGTTAGGACTCGAGCTGTTGAGCTACCAACCAGCCCCAAAGGCTGTGAATCTCACTAAAGATTAACCAAAAACAACAAAAACAACAATAATAACAACAATACATTTTAAGAAGAAGATACTTAGTTGATACCTAGGATGCTGGCAGCAATCCCTATCAACCATCAGCACCAGTCAATGACATTTGTGACACATTTTTAAATGTTCAGTTGACGGAGTTTCACGTTTCATTAATAAAAGTGGATAATAATCCAAAGTGGGGCACATTTCATATTAACCGCATGCAGAAGGAAGACCGGGATGAGCCTGACAAGGGCATTCAGACCAACCCTAAATGACAAAGGTTCCCCCCCGCCCCGCCCCGAGCTGATCTCGCAAGGTTGAGGCACATAAGCCGATCATGAACTCATGGTTTCCTTATTGGAGGTTCACATCCTCGGGTGGGGGGGAGGGGGGATATTAAAAGAACCCCAAGGCCCAGGTGCAACACCTTCTGGAGATGGGTCTCTCCCTGTGGAACCTCCCCATCTCCAAAGCCATACCTGGATGTATTCCGTGAGGCTGTTGAAGACCTGCTTGGCTACGGACATCGCTTTGGAGAAGTTGCGTTTGCCCTGATCGTCGATTACGTCCTTGCCTGAATAATACCAGTAAAAGTCACTGATGGACTCCTGGATATTTGGAAGGGGAGGAAGATAACATCTTGTGAAAGTCCGACAGCCACAGGATAATTCTCCTAAGCTATTGCTGTGGATGCAGCAGTTATTCGTGAATAACAGAGTTGGAAGGGACCTTGGAGGTCTTCTAGTCTGACTTCCTCACACTCCAACTGGCCCATGTTCCTCCCCAACCTCCTCCTCACTGTCCGATTCTGCTGCCAGCTCTGTGGGCCACGACACTTCCATCCGTTGCTTCTTATCTTGCCTTCTGGTGCTTTGGAGAACAGTTTGACCCCTTCTTCTTTGGGGTAGCCCTTCAGATATTGGAAGGCCGCTATCATGTCACCCCCCTAGTCCTTCTTTTCATTAAATGAGCCAAAACGGTGCTTGTTCCCTTGGACACCTTTAGCTGGGAGGTCTCTATTCTCACCTGAAGTCGCAGAAGGTAGTCAACGGTGCAGATTATGATGTTGATAGTGGTGGTGTTGCCAGTCTGGGTCCGCAGATAATTCTGGAAATCTGCCAGGGAAGACAGTGGATGAGAATTCGACCTCAGCCCCCTTCTTGGGTCCACCAAAACAAATAACCTGGGCCCATGTTGTAATAAATAACAGTCACATTCGTACTGGGAGTGACAGCATCCCCAATGAGACATCATATAAAAATTGTAGCGTTGGTCAGCATCGCCTCATCTAAGGATGCAGAAAACTACACAGAGTTGGGGATGTGTGAACAACAGAGGAACGCTGTCCTGGAGGGCAGGAGAACGTCCGTCTCCAAGGTCTCACAATTTAGACATGGAAACTTGAGCCCATCAACCCTCTTAGATTTTACTAGCTGGTTAGTATGACCTCCATGGACCTTCTCCAATAGCAACCATTTTTTTTTGACCGGACGTTCAACCATTCCAAACATTTTGAGGACATCCTAATAGAATAACAGAGAGCGGTGCGGTAGCCTAGAGGTGGAGCTCACAATCAGGATGCTGTGAGTTCAATCCTAGGTATTGGCAGATATTTCTCTCTCTGGGCACACTGAGAATAGATCTGCCGAACAAAACTCCGCACTGGCAACAGGAAGGGCATCCGGCCAATAAAACACTTTGCTAGCTCCATTCAGTTGCCCAGACTCCACCCTGCAAGGGATGATGGGGTCGTTAAAAGATGATGGTGATGATGATGATGATAATAGAATAACAGAATTGGAAGGGACTTTCCAGGTAGGAACCCTACACCATTTCACACGAACACTTGTCCAATCTCATCTTAAAAACTTCCAGTGTTGGAGTATTCACAACTTCTGGAGGCAATCTATTTATTTTAACTATCAGGAAAACTTCTCCTTAGTTCTAGGTTGGTTCTCTCCTTGGTTAGTTTCGATCCGTTGCTTCTTGTCCTGCCTTCAGGTGCTTTAGAGAATAAGCTGACCCCCACCTCTCCATAAAGGGGGTTGTATCTTCATATGTTTATTCAGCGGTTCCTATTTCTGTCTCTCCCCTCCTTCTTTCTCTTGGGTCCAACAAGTTCTACTTACCATTGTTGTGGCCTTCACAAAGGAGTTGCAGGAACCGAAAGAGGTCCTGGGTGAACAGGTCGTCGGCCATCACCTTCTCTCCTAGAGCAGGGAAGGGGTGGAGGGAAAAGACAGAACTGGCTAACATTAGCAGGCGCAACGTAGCAAGGAGGAGCGGAGAGAAGGAATGGGGATGAGCTGAGCGGGTAGGCAGGGAGCGATGCAGTTAGTTAGAAGCTGGAACTTCTCCAATGCCGGGCGCAAGCGAGTCTGGGCAAGGCAATCCCCACGGCAAAAATACGCTGCACACTGGGTGAAAACGCAACCCTGCAGGACTCACTGAGGCTGGATTCTCCTGGAGGCTGAAAAATTATAAAAATAAGGGCTTGGGGACCACGGTTACCCGTTGCAAACAGTAGCCCCCTTGGGAAAAACTGGCAGAATTTTAGATGCTCTTCATGACATTGCCAAATCAATGCTACAACGGAAGACGTCAAGGTATCCTTGATTTGCAATTAAAAGTCTGTGATACCCGTTGTAAAGTACCAATAAAGGAGAATATTTGTAGCTCAGGGTTGAAATGAGGGGTCCTTGGTACCTTCTGAGCTTGGTTGTTTTCTTGAAGACCTTTTATGACCCAGCTAGGGAACATAATCAGTGCTAGTAGTAGCAGCACCAGCAGTAGATATTTAAATATAGCAACTGGAACAGAGGGGTTGTGCAGCGAGCCAGAACACACAGTTATATTGGTTGAAGGGGGCGGGCTCCTGCATGAGGCAATCTGCACTGTGATTGGTTGCTGTGAGTGTGGAGAGGGAGTTTCCCTTTTTTCCCGCCCTTTTCTTCTGTGGGCCCTGTTTGTTCTGTGATTTACCTCACGATGCTCCCGTTTGCCTGACTATCTAGTTTGCTGGATACATAGTTGTAAAATACATTTATTTATATAAAACTACAAGGTCGTGTCAGTTGTCTCTGACACTTGCTGCACAAATTCCCTGATAGGGCTGCTCTTTGAAAAGTACCAATAAAGGAGAATATTTGTAGCTGAGGGCTGAATGGAGGGGTCCTTGGTGCTCTCTGAGCTTGGTTGTTTTCTTGCAGACGTTTCATGACCCAAACTAGGTTACATCCTCAATGCTAGTAGAAGTAGCAGTAGGCTACCAGCACTGATGATGTTACCTAGTTTGGCTCATGAAACGTCTGCAAGAAAACAACCAAGCTCAGAGAGCACCAAGGAGCCTCTTTTTGAAAAGCCGCAGAAGAGAACGGTTGAAGAGCAAATCAGTGAAGAATTAGTTCAAAAGCCCCTTCTTCCATTTGTGACGGCTTCAGTATCTTAATATATGCACAACAGTGTTGTGGCCACCTGCCCCTCCAGCAGCTGAGGGGGTGACATGGGAGTCAGGGTCAGCATCAAGGCAACCTGAGAGCTTTGAGTGGGAAGAGGGAATGGAGCTGGCAGAGAGAGAGAGAGAGAGGTGGACCCTGGGCAGCCCTCAGATGGAGAGTGACCAGCCCCAGGTCCGGAGGTGGCTGATGAGGAAGAGGAGGAACAGCTTGGATCCAGTGCCTGACGCACGGATGCGCAGAAGGCAGAGGAGAGGAGAGCAGTGGAAATCTATGGCCCAGTCCTTGTGAAGGAAGAGCCATCACTGCTCGCGAAGCCCCATCCTAGCTCTGAGGATAAAAGGCAGCCGGTGGAGACGAATCGTTGTGGCAGACAACGATTCATTTCTCTACTGGACAGACTTGTTAGTCTGCGGTGAGAGAGAAACTTTTTGCCGGGGCTGCCGCCGCTCCTAATAAAGGAATCATTGATTGAACTTCAGAGGGTTTGGGGAGCTGGGTCAGAACAACTGGCCTCTAACGGGCACGAAAGCTGAGGGGTTCTAAGCCCAGATTTAGTGCCTGTCAATCTCAAATGATTATTTTCAGAGCAAAAGAATATTTAATTCAGAAAATAGGACCGGGTCTCGGGGAATCGAGCCGAAGTGAGAGCTGCAGTGGTTGACTCAGGGCAGGGGGGAAAGTTAGTAGAATCAGGGTTCACATGCATCTGGTTAGTGGATGGCTTGACTCCATCGTAAAGGAAGGCAGGAAGGTGCACAAAATTCTGCTGAAGGAAACCAACATCTGTGACATCCCAGCCACAGCTCAATGTCAACAGATCGGCCGAATGTTTCCATCGCTCCTGATGGAATTTCAACCTTGGGAGGGGAGGAATGAGAGGCGTTATGGTGGGAGAGCAGAGAGGAGGGCGGGAGAACCGCATAGAGTTCGGATGAACCACGGTTGACGTGCTTCTGCTCGCTTGCCGTTATGTTTGGTGGCTGAGGACGGTCTTTGCCGTGTCATTCAGGGGAACGGCCCTTTTTCGCGGCTAACTGAGACACACAACACAGGAAGGGAGGATCAGTGTAGGACGAAGAAAATGCAAGCGAAGAAAATGCAGCATGACAAGACAGCGGTGGAAGGAGATAGAGATCGATACGGATCAGGAAGAAAACAAGAATTAAGATACCCAGGAACCAGCCCTGTCCCGTGAAGGTTAATAGAATTAGTGGTAGAAGAAGGTCCATCATCCGTTCTGTGGCCTTGGTCATTAATGAAGATATGAATCCAACTTTAGCATGAGGAGGGCAAGGACTGGCAGCCTGCCTGCCCTCCCCGTTCGCATGAAGGCAATTTTCTTCCTTCGGTGGGATTCATATGTCCCAACTGGCATCAATGACTGATCCCTTTTCCACTGTTGGTGAAGTTGCCTTCGCTGTCTCCAGGATGAACACAGGTCATCCCTTCCCCACGAGAACTGCCATCTTCCCTTCCAAACTGGGGACAGGTAATCCTCGACGTACGACCACAATGGAGCCCCAAAATTTCTCTTGTTAAGCCAGACAGTTGTTAAGTGAGGTTTACCCCATTTTACTTGCCACAGTTGTTGGGTGAACCACGGCGGTTGTTAAAATGAATCTGGCTTCCCCATTGACTTGGCTTGTCATGTGATTCCTGGGGCTTATCACGTAACCCCCAGGGACGCTGCAACCGTCATCAATACGAACCAGTTGCCTAGCATCCGAATTTTGATTACGTGACTGTGGAGACGCTGCCGCAGTCGTAAGTGTGAAAAATGGTCACAGGTCAACTTTTTTTTAGTTCTGTTGTGGCTTCGAACAGCCACTAAACGAACAGTTGTAAGTTGAGAACTACCTGTACAGTTGTAGATGGAAGCTGCTCCAAGTTACCTCATTAAATATGACTTTATCTGAAGGCAATTTGAATCAGAAAACCCCCAGGCCATTCAAAAACCCAACTGAATAAAATCTGAGAAAGCAAAGGTGCTAAGCAGGACAACATGGTTACAACGTTTTAGAAAGACAGGACATTTACACCTGCAAGAACACAAATACTCAAATCTGGAGACCCCAAGATGTGGCTCTTCAAAATTGTCCTCTTAATTGTAATTTCTAACAAAAGGGGAGCACCATAAATTACTCGGTGTGCATTGCATTAATTTAAATTGAATTAAATTGGAATGAAATTATTTTTTTTAAATCCAGACCTCATTATTATTATTATTCTTTGGTCCTATCTGAAAACACTGCACATTCCTGTCTAAAAGCACAAAACATGGGCGGTTTATGAGGGGTGAACGTAATCTATGGATATGGCTCTTGTGCTAAGGTGAGTTACTACAAGGAAGGCCATAATGTGGTTGCTATGAGGTTACTATAGTAGAAGAACATTTAGTACAGAGAGAGAGAGAGAGAGAGAGAGAGAGAGAGAGAGAGACAGAAAGGTTATATCAATTACTAGAACAAGCGCTATTATGAGAGCTTCTTAGAAATATGTTACTATAATATTAGAAGACCACTTGCAAGAACAATACTGGATAGTGGTATAATAATATAGACTTTCCTGCATTAAACTAGGATTTTAATAAGAATACGGTTACTAAAAGGATAATGCAATTTCAGATGCCAAATATGTCCCTTATCTCAATTTCTACAGATTTACTATAATGTTACTCCTGCCAATTGCCAAGGGTCCAAATATTGATCATACGACTGCTAGGATTGTGCCGATGGTCGTTAAATTTAAGGACCGTTGATAATTCCCATTTTTTCAAAGCTGTTGTAAATTCAGTCACTAAAGTCAAGGGCTTATGTACAGTACACAACATTTCTTAAGAGAAGGAAAGTTTACCTACAGGGCTGAGGCCCAAGAAACCATAGTAAATATACTAGTCTGCAACTTTTCTACTTGCTTAACCCACCTGTCTTGCAAATACACAGACACACTCCTTTTCAAAACACAAAACATTAGAAAATACCTACACAGGTACTGAAGACATAGGATTCAACAGCTGCACTGTTACAAAGCACTTATGCCGCCAACACAGCCACACAATTCTGCAGCTTGCACCCTCCTTTGTCACCAGTCTAAGCTGGGACAACACTGCCGGTAGGCAACACATAAGTCTGTTATGGACAAAATGGCGGGGCAACATTGCTGTGAACAAAATGGCGGGAAGATGCAGGCATGGAGGCAACAAAATGTGCTACACTGAAGACTTCTGAAAATGGGACGAAGAAGAAAAGGACAGGTGGGTGGGTGAAGAATTGAGGTCTGCATCCAAAGTAGGCAGGGGCATCGCTTACAAGAAGACAATGTGCAGAATGCCAATTTGAATTTTTTTGGTGGGGGGAAGGTAGAATGTGGTACCGGGGGAAAATTCATCAACTAAAGGACATGCACCAAATAGAGTTCAAGACACTTTCCTGCCCCCTCTGGAGACTGATCAGAACCCCCTCCAACAGTTCAGGGTTAGACACGGGTGGAATGGGTTGCATGTTGCATCACTGTTTCATATGGTGGCTGCAGTGCCTCAGATAGAAAGTCCCTACAGAGAGTGGTGAGGACAACCAAGATTATTAGATTATATAGGAAGCTCGCTTCCCGTAATTCAGGATACTGCTTATAAGTGCTATGTGCTTAGAGCTCAAAGCATTGTTGGAGATCCCACACACCCACTTTACGGTCTGTTTCTGTTGCTTCCCTCTGGGAGGAGGTTTTGAAGTATTTCTAGCAGGACTACCAGATACTGTAACAGCTTTGTTCCCTAGGCCATCCGTCTGGTAAACTCGCAAGATTTGTTTTTTTCACCATGTACATGTATACATCTGAACCTGTGTTGTTTCTATGGGTTATATAATATACGTGGGTATATGCATAATTTTGTATTTTTTCATTTATTATCCTGTCATGTTTATGTAGTGCATATTGGAAGTGGTGATCCTTTGAGAGGTATATGCAACAAAATTTAATTTCAGTGTATACCAATTAGTATACATAATGACGATAAAGTTATTCTATTTATCTTTCTATGTTTTTCCAGTCAGGTCCTGGCTGATCATGATGCCTTCACTCAAAAGCAAGTTGCTTCCCTAACATGGAAGATTGTTGGATTCTTCTCACTGTCAGGGAAGAACCCAACCGTCTTCCATGGTGGGGAAGCTACCCCATCGTGAACTTTGAACTTCAGTGGAATCCCAGGAAACACCAAACTGCAGGTGTTTCTCCAACTAGGGTTGAAACCTAGCTTGGCTGCTGGTCTTCCGAGTTGACTATCCAAAACTGCTCCTTTCTTAGGCCTCGAATGAGAAAACTAGCCATCCTGTCCATAAATCAAGGCCCAGTTTCCAAAGAACAGACCAACCTAGCTAGTCAGCCCACCTCCAACTGAGAAGCACAGATGGTTCAACCGTGGAGGGATCGATCTACCATTATCCTTGATAGGACCAGAGGTTATAACCTCCTGTCTGCTTCAGTTGAGATTCCAGGCAAAGCCCAGATTCTCAGTTGAGGTAATTTGGGGATTTGATCACCAATATCAAATCTGGTCTGAAGACTGTAGAATTGGAGCTGTCTAGAACTTTCAGATTCCTAAGGACATGTGGCTGTAGACGACCCAACCATTCCCAACACAAACTTGAGCAAACTTCATCGAAGTTCTTTCTGAGAATCCCCATCGCGACATTCATCTTGCCCATTGTCTAGTACAGGGCTCCTCAAACTTGGCTACTTTAAGGCTCGTGGACTTCAATTCCCAGAATTCTCCAGCCAGCCAGCCAGGATGGCTGGGGAATTCTGGGAGTTTGAAGTCCCTGAGTCTTAAAGTAGCCAAGTTTTCAGATCCCTGATCTAGTAGTTCCAAAATGCAGGACCTTCTGATGGTCCTTCCGTTTGCAGCCCCTAGTTTGTTAGACACCCGTGGTGAATTCCTTTGGGGTTCTAGGATCCTAGATTCTAAACCAGGGTTGGGAGGAGGGAATTCTGATCAGTTTCTTTCTTTCTTTCTAGCTTTCAATCTCTCGGGTTAGAAAAGGGCAATTAAAATGAAAAGAAAAAGAAAAAGCCGAGAAACTGACCATCAAAGGAAAAAAAAACAACCACAATTTCACAAAAAGCAAAAGAGATTATTTACCATTTTCACGACTGATGACTGAGGGAGGGGGCAGCGGTCACACCAGGAGAGGGGAGGGGAGGGGAAAGGAGAGAAGGAGGAAGGAGGAGAGAGGAGGTGAGTCCCAGAAGGAAAAGGAGACCATTATAAACCAGAGAGAGGGAGCAAAATAAAATCAAAATAGATTAAAGTGCCGTTTAACATGGAACAGAGAACGGATGAGACCAGAAAACCTGGGATGGAGGAAGGGGAATGGGGAAAATCCATTATTGGTTTTAGGGATCTCAATTAATCCGCGCCTTATCAGAAGGAAGCAGTGAACACAAAGAGGATATGCAGAGGACTGGAGGAAGAGGAGGGAGAGGATGAACACTGGGCAGGCTTGGGAAAGAAGCCAGTGTCCATCTTGGGGAAAAAAACAAAACCTTTTTTGCATCCGTCCCCAGAGATGCAAACTCTGCCCCCATCCTTCAAAACAACGCTGAGCCTGCTCCACATCCTGCCCAGGAAGATGTTTTCCAGCAAACATAAACCAGGAGATGATGTATCACATGCAAAGCTTCCTGGCCTTCCCCTGCTGAATATTTTTGGGCCATGGGGGCCTCCCCCACAAAATCTGGTGGCCAAACTCAACTTTGGGAAGGTTGGAAGGAGGGTAGGGTGCTGCCTCCCGCCTGCCTCAGGAGGCAGAAGAGCTGAGACAAACAGGATGAGCTTGGTTCTTGGTCGATTTGCCGGAGCACTTCAAACCAGGGTAGAAGGACTTACTTGTTCCTTCTTCTGTTACCATCCCAAGTCCTTCAGCCTTGTTTTGCCTCTCAAAGGCGTTGAGGTCCAGCACGCTGCAAATGAAGGGGAGGTACGGAACAGGAGGTGAGGAGGACACAGTAGAATAGCAGTTGCAGGACCAATAAACACTGGGGTAGCAGCTCCCAGGATGACGGTTATAATATTGTTCTGACCCACGCTCTTTCCCAACAAATCAAACACCATCCAAAGGGAACAGAAACCTTGTAATGCTTTTGCAAAACAATTAGCTAAGCACAAGCCTTGCCAAACTGTGCGAGACTTGCCAAAAGATAACAGACAAGAAATAATTTGCAATACAAGAATCTTCAAGTACAAACTCAAGATACTGGAATGTCCACGAGGCTGGGGTTTCAAAAGGTCTTTGCCTTCTGCAAAGTACGTTCGTTTCACAGCTGGCTTTTATCTTCTTGAAGGAGGGGCCATTACCTTGCAGCCTTACTCCCGAGTCACCCGTGCGTTGTAGCTGCTCTTTCCTACAAGCAATCCTGCACACACGCGCACTTGGCACAGGCTCCTCGGGAACCTCCTCATCACTGCTGCCAGCCCCCACAATCTCTGAAGGCAGCAGTCCACTCCCTCATGGTCCTGGCCCCTCAACTGAGTCCTCGCTCTCCTCAGCCGTCCTCACCTGCTGCCGGCTAACCACAACAAACATTGACCTAGTTTAACTTCTACTGAATTTCTCTGGACCAAGACAGATCCAACAAGAAAGCTTCCTTACTATGTGTTACCTCATTCACAAATAATCTTAATCTTCTTGTGTCTTAGGACTCCATCTTGAGCAGCGGCAGGCAAAACAACTGCTTGGCCAACAGATGCCCTAGTGATGTTACCTCTTGATCTGAGTCACCATCTTAATTTCCTGCGATGCCCCAACTTAGCTTTAAAGCTTTGTGGGAAATTAAATATCAGGCATACACAGCAGTCCCACAGATGGAAAAGGTGGCTTATAGGAAGTCATCCTCAAATCTGGAGTCCCCATAGTCCTTCCCAAATTGCTTTTACGGAGCTCCAAGCTTTAGTCTACCACATCTTGGAGTGCATCTCTCATTTCTTCCCATCTCTCTCCAGGAGATACTCATGGTGACCTCAACATTCTTGGCATTTCCCTGTCCCCAGAGAGGACCCATCAGTGAAGTTGAAGTCTTTCACAGCCTTCCCTTTTAACCAGAAGTATGGGAAAGAGACATGGACTGAAATGTGTAAGTTTATAATTCCACAAATAGATCTTATCCAGTCGGTAGATCTTGCTGAATCTAGAAGACTTCAAGCGCCAGACCGTGGACAAGAAGACAACGAGAAGTATTGAAACCAAAGAAAAAAGTAGAAGACACCACTACGTACCTGCAGGTCTGCATTAGTCCCTGGACACTCTGGAAGAATCCCACCTCACGTTTCTCTTTCAGATAATCCAGCATTTTCTGAAGAAAGAGAGAGAGAGTCAACATTTGGAAAGGACCAGAGAACCTAATGTTTAGCTTTTGGTGAATCATACAACATAACGCTGCAGGTTCCTATCTTCATAGATCATTGTTCTTCACACCTACAGATCTGAAGGTCTAATCTACAGAAGGACCGTACTATAGATGGAAGGAGAACCACACTATCCTCCATTGCAGGGACTTAGTCAGAGCCTTCCAGTCCCCTTGTGAGGGAATTTGGTGGTGTACCTTCTCCCAACCCTGAAAATCAGATGCTTCAAAGGGGACTATCATGTGGTGAGACAGAAAGGCCCGAGTCCTTCCATTAATTCAAGAGCTGCTGGTCCAGTTCTACAGACGAATGATTGAGTCTGTCATCTGCAAACTGTCTGGTTTGGTTCTGCAACCCAACAAGACAGACACAGACTGCAGAAAAAACAATGGCTACCAACCTGCCTTCCATTGAGGACCTGTATAATACTGCACAAGTCAAAAAGAGGGCTGTGAAAATATCTACAGATCCCTCACATCCTGGACATATACTGTTTCAACTTCTACCCTCAAAACGACACTATAGAGCACTGCACACCAGAACAGCTAGACACAAGGACATTTTTTTCCCCCGAAAGCCATCAGTCTGCTAAACAAATAATTCCCTCAACACTGTTCAACTATCACAAAGTCTGCACTACTATTACTATTAACCTTCTCATCACTCCTTATCACCCATCCCCTCCCACTTGGGACTGTATGACTGTAATTTTCTCGCTTGTATCCTTACAATTTATATGGGCTGTTTCAAAGTATGATTGGATTGCTTATTGTACCCTGTGACTATTATTAAATGTTGTACCTGATGATTCTTGACTCTTGACAAATGTATCTTTTCTTTTATGTACACTGAGAGCATTTGCACCAAGACAAATTCCTCGTGTGTCCAATCACACTTGGCCAATAAAGAATTCTATTCTATTCTATTCTATTCTATTCTATTCTATTCTATTCTATTCTATTCTATTCTATTCTATTCTATTTCTATCTTCAAAGTTGGCAAGTTTAAGACTTGTGGACTTCAACTCCCAGAATTCCTAACGTGACCGGAGGAGGGATTCTGGGAGTTGAAGTCCACAAGCCTTAAATCTGTCAAGTTTGAGGACTCCTGAGTTAATTCTACAATTCTATGTAGGTCCATGGTAGATATCCAAAATGAACATCCATTTGATCTGTAGCTTGCTCTCACTCTTCTTTTAAAGATGTCTCCCACCCACCAGCTGTTCCCCAGAATGCTTTCCACTGAATCACTGTTCTCCAACTCTGCCCACCACTTTCCCCCGCTCTGTCCCAATTTTATACTCCATCCAGTCTTTTAACCTTGGAGTAAACTATTTCTCAGTCTCCAAGAATTAGCAAAAGGAAGAACCTGCCCCAAATCCTGGCCTCCTTCTTCTTACCTGCTGTACTTCCTCATTGCCACCATTTAGGATGGAGATGCCCAGCTTCAGAGTAGAGGAAACCATGGCCCCAGGCTCCCCTGTCAAGGCAGAAAACCAAATTATTTCATGACATCTCTTGTCTTGGAACACAGTGACTTTCTTCTCCAAAACCAAATAAAAAGGGATCTTAGACCCTGAATGATGTAGGAGAAGCCTGAGGGGGGAATCAAGAGAGGAACCAGCCTGGAATCCTTATGTTCCCACAGACGTTCTAAGTCTGGTCCATTTTGAATTCCATTAACTTTTACTTAGCAGCAATTTACTGCTGACCATTTTGATTAGATTCTTGTATACAGGCACGAGTAATAAATCACCTTAACTGGAACATAATTTGTTGTTTCGATTCCTTACACCTGACTACTGGCTCTTGAAATGCCGTGCAAAGCTAAAGCACTATAATGGTGATGCCGAACCTTTTTGTTGTGGTGTGCCAAAAGCGCGTATGCGTCAGCCCCCCACAATGCAATGCCCCCTGCCCCCCCCCGTGCCTGTGCGCACAACACCTCTGCCTCACCCCCTTACCTGCACTGTGGATGCGTACACCTCCAAGCTGATTTTTGGCCCATTTCAGGCTGTTTTCACCTTTCCGGAGGCTCGAGGGAAGCCTCTGCAGCCTCGGGAGGCCGAAAAACAGGCCTTCCGGAAATACCGGAAGTGTCCGTTTTCAGCCTCTGGAGGGCCTCTGGAGCCCGGGAGAGGCTGTTTTCACCCTCCCGAAGGCTCGAGGGAAACCTCGGGAGGGTGAAAACGGGCACGTTTCGACACTTCCAGTATTTCCAGAAGGCCCATTTTTCGGCCTCCCAAGGCTACAAAGGCTTTCCTTGAGCCTCTAGGAGGGCAGAACTGACCTCAAACAGGCCCAAAATCAGCTGGGAGGCGCACGCATGTGCAGTGCAGGTATGTTTGGCTGGGGTTTGCGTGCCCGCAGAAATGGCTCTGTGTGTCACCTGTGGCACGCGTGCCATAGGTTTGCCATCACGGCACTCTAACTAATGTTTAGTTTGAAACTGTCACAAAATGTGACAGTTTAAGACCTTGAAAAGTTTCTCCAGCCACCTCTCTCCCAAAATTGGAAATCTAGCCAAGATCCTAAAAATGTAAACTCAAAAGCAAAGCAAGTTTCTAATTTCTATAGCTAAATAGAGAGAGAAAGGTTGATGGACAGCATTACTTACGGTACAGGCAGTCCTCAACTTACGACCACAATTCATCCCAAAATTTCTTTTGCTAGGCAAGATAGTTGTTAAGAAACTTTGGCCCCAGTTTATGATCTTTCTCATCAGAAGTGTTTAGTAAACCATTGCAATTGTTAAGTGAGTAACATGGTCGTTAAGCGAATCCTGCTTCCCACCTTGTCTTTGCTTGTCGGAAGGTCACAAAAAGGGATCACAAGATCCCGGGACAACGCAACTATCATAGATATGAACCAGTTGCCAAGCATCTAAATTTTGAACCTGTGATTACAAGGATGCTGCTATGGTCCTACTTGTGAAAAACGATCGTAAGTCCCTTTTTTCAGTGCTGTTGTAACTTGGAGCAGTCACTAAATGAACTGTCGTAAGTTGAGGACAACCTGTAGTCTGGAGGGGCTTTTTCCCAGATGGCAAAGAGGCAGTGGAGTTTGGCATGTCTGGGAGGGAGGAAGAGGGCTAACACAGTCCCTCCTTAGCGGTTCACAGAATACATCTAAAGTTATGTGGCTAGTTGCTTTAGTCTGGCAAGATTCTGTCTATCAGTGAAAATACAATGAAGCAATTAAGAAGTAATTCCATGTGTTCTTCTTGGTTTTTGTGACATCAGTCTTGCCAGACTAATATTAGCAACACTTTCCTCTTCCTACTATCAAGACCGCAAGGACATGTTCGTTTGCCTCTCCTTAGCAGTTCACAGAATACATTTATAGTTATGCAGATAGCTGCTTTAGTCTGGCAAGATCCTGTCTGTAAGTGAAAAAACAATAAAGAAACTAAGAAGCAACTTCACTTTTGGTTCTTGGGTCTTGACTTCATTGTTGTTAGACTAAAGTTTAATGCCAGAAGATATTAGTGATACCTTCCTCTTCCTACTATCAAGTCCTCAAGGGCAAGTTCATATACTCTCCGCCAAATTGTTCTTCTTTCTCTCCCTCCCACTCCAGTCCTTCCTGTATCTCTTTTGGTACAGGGTGATGATATCCATGCTTGGCCATTACGACGACTTCTTCTTCGAACGCTCGCTAAACCAATGCTTATTTTGTAAACTGTAAATTATAAGTTTTGTAAATAAGCTCTGGTCCTTCCTGACTAATTAGTTAAGATTACTTCTTGGGATGAAGTAATCCACTCTTTGCCGGAGATAAGAAGGAGGATAAAGTAGAATCCTTTCTAACCTTTACAGGCGCTAATCATTTGAAGGACCATCTCGGCTGCTCCGCGATTGTGAAGTCGGGATTGCTGGTACAAGAGTTTCTGCTTCTCCATCTCCTTCTCCTGCAAGAAGACAAAGGAGTAGGAGGGACGAGGTTACAGGCGGAAGACGGGGAGACTTCTTCTATTGGTGTGCAAAATCCAGATACAAGCATTGCAGGTATTTTCTGGGGCCTGCCTGGGGCGGTGTGCAGCTTTTTAGAAGCTCCCCAAAGGTAGAACTTCCTTTGTCTCTTACAACGTTAAAATTCAAGTCGATCGCTAAAATGAAATGTATTTGTTCGTTTATAATCCCACCGTTATTACCTTTACAATATAAAGCAACACATACCATATATCCAGCACGTCTTCTCCTATTTTTCCCACAACAACAATCCAGTGAGGTGGATTGGGCTGAGAGAGACGGACTGGTCACCCAGCCAGCTTTCATGACTAAGGCGGGACTAGATCTCACCGTCTCCTGGTGACTGGCACCAAAGTCACCCAGCCAACTTTCGTGCCTAGGGCCAGACTAGAATTCACCATCTCCTAGCAATTGGTCCAAAGTCACCTAGTTGGCTTTCGTGTCTAAAAATAGGACTAGAACTCCCGCTTTCTAGCCTGGTGCCTTAACCAGACCAAACCCTACATGAAGATGAGAAATTAATAAGAGGAGAGACTTCTTTATACAATGCAGCATTGAATCTTCGTGGTCATTTAGAAGATTTCTAGAAGGGGAGTGGACGAATTCATAGCCTTCAAACGCTATTGATCTTGATGGCTGTTTATCGCCTCCTGCATTTTTGGCAGTATCCTTGACACATCAGCTACTGGAAAATGACAAGGATGGTTGAACTCCCCTTCCGCATCTGTTTGGCTATTAGGAGGACATGGAATGATGGATTAGGCAGGTTTGACACAGCCCAGGTCTCTCCTGCTATTTTTATGAATGTTCACTAGATGGTACGAGGTTTTTGAAGGGATCTCCCTTCTCCTGTCATGCCCCTGTTGGAATCTGACTCAGAGGGGGAAGCCAAACAGCTGACAGGGACCGGGAGTGTGTGGCTCTGTTGGCTGTGGAGGAAACTGGGGAAGGGCAAAGTCTGGCTGGGCAGAGCAAGGGAGAGGGAATTCAGGGGAAGACCTAGGCCCACTCCCTCTTCATCATAGGGCATGCAAGGAGGAACAGAGAAGGGAGCAAAGCGAGTTGAGTGGCTTACGGGGGAGGAAAGGGCCCTGATTCCCTTCATTAGCTGCAGCTGGGAACATAGTGTATAAAATAGGAAGCTGCACACAGCAAGTTGTTGGAAGCAAACATGAATTTATCTGGTATTGTTGAGGTGCATCTACCAACTGTGCTAGGCTGTCATTTTCCTATTTTTGAAATATGGGATTCACTTTCACATCTGGATCGTTTTGACCCTCTTGGCAAGTTGGGAGTGTGCAGGTCATCTAATCAAGAAGGAAGATTTGACCAGATTTGACCTGCAGGCTAAAGTGTCCAAAAACCAATTTGGGAAGTTGAGAAGAGAGAAGTCACTAACCTCAAATGGCACTTCTTCTTCCTCTTCCCCGTCGCCTTCTTCTCCTTCATTAATGTGACAGCTCTAAAGTCCCAGGGAGCAAAAAAAAAAAGGGGGGTGAGCAACAACACAGATACATGAAGACCCTTTCCACAACTGTCTGCTGGAAAACTCCCAAGCCTGGCAATGGAGGAGGGATCAAGCAGGGAGTTAGCCTTGAGTCCCTGCACAGCTGCAAAAGATTTAGATCTGACACCGCCTAAGTTCCATGGGACCTTATCTGTTTGTTCCCAAGCGAAGGCAAGCAGACCGAGGAGATTCTTGTAGTGTGGGTAGTGTCAACTCATAAAATATTTCCATGGTCTTTTTAGAGTTGCCAACAGAAAGGGAGGGGGGAGCAGTGCGGCAGCTTACAAACCGAAAGCGCATTCCATACATAGTTTTCAAAGATAGTAACTAGGTGACTGAGGTTTCTGCCGTGCAAAATTCTAACTGGAGAGCATGACTGATGATTCTGGGCTATGGAGGTGTCCCATTGGAGAATATGAATTACAACACACCCAGGGGGTGGGGGAAAACCAGGGTCAAGGGTGACCGTGAATTACGCGTCTCAGAGTCGGCTATACCCAGGCAGTGCTGGCCATGTTAATTCCCAATAAATCCTTTTGAAGTTTTGAAAGTTTGGCTTGAGACTCATGATTTAATTGGGGGTAACTGCCGGAATCCTGACAGGTAGAACACAATAAAGTACAGTAATCAACTCGAATACTTCACATGTGGATTTGGTCGCTTGTGTCTGATACTGTTCCAGCCATGACCCATTCCAGAGTACGTATAAGAACCAAAAATGGGTTGCGCCCCCTTTCCCCCAAACCTTCCCACCAACAGGTCCTGCCCCACCCATTTTTGGTGAACAGCCAACGAGCCACAAAATGTTTGGTGCAGCATTTGCAAGAGACGACAACATAGCAAGACATTCAGCATTTGAGGCAAGACTGAAATGTTCCATCTCTTCCTCACCTTGGCCATGATGTCAGCGTAGGCCATGTACAGATAGTCTTCATCCAGTTTGCTGAAATAAAGTAAACAAGTTCAGGATCAGCAACAGTCCACCCACCTCCGGGTAAACTGAATTCCAACTCCTCAAATCAGCCAAGAATTCCTGGAAGTTTCAAGGCAACCAAGCTTGGAGGGACTCAAGTTGTAGAAAACTGACCCATACAAGCCACGCAGACTTCTTACTCCATCAGCCCTAGGAGAACCTCTATCCCTTCTGTGGAGGATAAAGGGTGAGATCGTGGACAAGAGCAGGGGTGGGATTCAAAATTTTTAACAACCGGTTCTGTGGGTGTAGCTCAGGTGGTGGGCGTGGCTTGGTGGTCATGTGACTGGGTGGACGTGGCTTGGCGGTCATGTGACTGCATGGACGTGGCTTGGTTGTCATGTGACTGGGTGGACGTGGCTTAGCGGTCATGTGACTGCATGGACGTGGCTTGGTTGTCATGTGACTGCATGGACGTGGCTTGGTGGTCATGTGACTGCATGGACGTGGCTTGGTTGTCATGTGACTGGGTGGGCGTGGCCAACTCAACATCACTCACATTGAGGCGCGCATCTCCTCGCCTGGCCTCTCATGACTGGGGATGCTGCAACAGTTGTTAAGTGTGGAAAAATAGTCATGCGGACATGGTGGGCGTGGCCTACCAGAACTTCCGGGAGGGCCGTTTTTTGCTTTCCTCAGAGTCTGGAGGTTTCCCTCGGGCCTCTGGGAGGGCGAAAACAGCCTCCCCGGGCTCTGGAGGCCCTCCGGAAGCCGGAAGTAGGCCCGTTTCTGGACTTCTGGAAGGCCTGTTTTTCTCCCTACCATAGTCTCCGTGAAAATGGGCCACATGGAGACTCCTGGGAGGGCCGGGCCAGGCCAGTCAGTCGGTTCAAATATTGGTCCAGCAAACCAGATTCAAATTTAACATCTGGTTTGCCCGAACCGGTAGAATCCTATCCCTTGGTTGAATCTTGATGTCCCACCGAACTTCTCCCTCACTCTTGCACCATAGTCCAGGATCAGGCCCACACATTAAGTCCCAGCTGAACTATTGCTCCTGCCTCTACCCAAGGCTCTAAGTCAACCAGTGATCGGCACTAAATTGTCACTTGATAGGAGCTAATAGAATTCAAGAAGATTGGACTTCGACCCCTTGTGAGAACGTAATGATTCCAGGCTGATTCCTCTCTTGGCTCCACCCTTCTACATCAGGGCAGAACGTTTCAGCTATGGCTACTTCATCTGTTTTGAACCCAAATTCACGCTGGGCTCTGGACTCTACTGCCGCTACCAACCTCTTTTCTGTTAACGCCGTCCTGCTAAAATGGAGAATGAGCTGGTGCAAAGGGTCTGGCTTCTTTTCCTCCTCCTCTTCCTCTTCCTCTTCCTGCGGCCCAGGTTTCTACATCCCACATCCCACAATAGGAAAAAGAGCAATTAGAAATCAGATCTGAGATGTAGCATTTCCCCTAAACAACTACAGTGGGACGGGCATTCAAACCACCCCCACCCCCAGCCGACCTCAGGCTCTTTCCCCCAGGAAGACTCACAGATAGATCGTCGATCATTCTGTCTTCAAAGGGATGCTCTTCACTGAAGATCCAGGAATACTTGTAGCTCTCCAGGAACATGTTGCAAGCACGATGCCTGAGTAGCAGAAAGGCAGGTTGATCATGTCCTCTACCCCAGCCAAATGATTCCCATTTTGGCAGCGTTAGGGAAACGCAACTCGCCTGGGCCAACTTGCCACGGGACAATTCACCATGGCCAACTCACTGCAGAACAACTTGTCACGGGACAAGAGCTACGTTAATATCGAAGGAATAGTCGAATAGAATCATTAATCATGAGCCTCGGTGGTGCAATGGTCAGAGTGCAGTATTGCAGGCTACTTCTGCTGCCTGCCTGCAATTTGGCAGTTCGATTCTACCAGCTCAAAGTTGACTCAGCCTTCCATCCTTCCAAGGACCCAGATTGTTGGCGGCAATATGCTGACTCTATAAAACTTAGATAGGGACGTAAAGTACCATGAAGCAGTCTATAAGTCTAGGTGCTATTGCTATTAAGGAAAGAATGAATGCCAAAGGAGGGAGAAAATGAAATTTGAGGGACGAAAGTTAAAATACTTTTAAAAAACTATTTTAAATAATTAAACCGAATTGTTATATATCACTGTGAAGTGGTAAAAAGTCTAAGCTACTGCTCTTAAAGAAAGAATGAATGCCAAAGGAGGGACAAAATGGAATGTGAATGACAATAATTAAAATACTTTTCAAAAATATTTTAAATAATTAAATTGTTGAATTGTCCTGCAGAGAGCTTTTCCCATGGTGAGTTGACCATGGTGAGTTGTCTGAGGTGAGCTGGCGGAGGAGGCGAGTTGGCGGAGGAGGCGAGCTGGCGGAGGAGGCGAGTTGGCGGAGGAGGCGAGTTGGCGGAGGAGGCGAGTTGTCCAATTCTGGCTGCAAGAGGTGAATCCATGTATGGAATGATACTTATTCCAATCAGTGGACCAGCCAATCCAGCTGTATTAACTCACCTGGGCAGGTTATAGAGGGGCGTCATGCGGAAGCACGCAACCACTGCACGCCGCCGTTGCTTGGAGAGCAATTTGTGCCACGCGGCTTTCTTGGATTTGTACGGGTGCTCTAACTGCAGGAGAAGGCAGAAGAGAATCGGGGTTGGAAGAGAGGATAACTAGTGCTTCACTCCTCCACCTCCTTTTCCGGATCAGTGGCTTCCTTGCCATTTCTTTGTATTTCTCCTTTGAGGTTCCTGCCTCTGAAACCTCCCATGATCCATCAAGAAGATGGGTTACTAGGTCCCAATCCACTCTTATCATATTCGCAAGGCCTTCCCGAGTGACTTGTGGTTAACTGGACAGCTGACAAGTCCACTGAATTGTCTTGGAGGCTTATATGCTCTCAGCATGCACAGTTAATGAATGAATGTCTAGAACAGTGGTGGTCAACCTTTTTGGGCTCCTGTGCCAAAAATTGGGCGCGTGCAGGCGCTTACGTGCCAGCACCCAGAAGGCAATGCGTGCGCTCCCAAGCCCCCTGCGCATGTACGTGCAATTCCCCCGCTGCTCCCCCCTACCTGCACTGAGCCTCACAACTGATTTTCGGCTGGTTTGAGGCCTTTTTGTGCCTCCCAGAGGCTTGAAAAAAGCCTCCGCAGGCCAAATAGGCCCATTTCGTCACTTCCGGTATTATAGGAAGTGACCAAAACGGGCCTATTTGGCCTGCGGAGGCTTTTTCCAAGCCTCTGGGAGGCTGAAAAAGGCCTCAAACCAACCAAAAATCAGCTGTGAGGCACGCGCCATCACAGGTCTAGAAGGATGATTTTGATGTTAAAAAAAAGGATTTTTTTAAAAAAAGGAAAAAAGTTTTTAAAAGTGGAAATAAGTTTTTTTTTTTAATCTAATGAGGACTTTTAACAAAATGGACCATGAGTCCCCATGAATGGGGGTGTGGGAGAATAAGGGGTCCTGAGTAATGGGTGTTATTGCAGTGTTGATGTTAAGCTGGGCTGCCATTCTGCTTATATTTATTATTGGTGCTTTTTTGTTGCTGATGGGATTTTTTTTTTTAAAGTTGACTTTTAACTTGGGCAGCTACTGAGATCGCTGTTGTGAGATTGTTCAGATCTGGGAAGCTCTCAGCAGCCCTCAAAAACTTAGGTAGCAAATCCTATTCTTCAACCTAGGGACCTGCCAAATCTCTCTGTGGGTCCATACCTGTTCCAGGTGATAGAGCACGGCAGACACCTCCTGTACCCGTTTGACAATCTTCTCCGGCTTGTTGGAGTCCTCGGCTTTCCCAGCCATCTCCTTGTAGAGGGCCATCTGCCAGCGCATGGAGGAGGAGTTCTCACACTGCAAGGCAAATGGGCACATTCACAGAACATAGGCCACCTGAAACATCACCTTTCCAGCCCCGCACTCCCAGCGCTATTTAAATGAGGTCTTAAAACTAGTCTCCACCCCCAAGTCCTGGGTTAGAATGAGTGGTGGATCCCTTGTGGGATGTTAATGCCTTTTCCAGATTCTTTTTCGTGCTAGATTCTGAGTTTTATTATAGGCATTGCTATGTAGTATTTTGTAAGCTGCCTGGACTAGGAAGAAAGGAAGGGAGGAAGGGAGGGAGGGAAGATAAGAAGGAAAGTCAAGAAGAGAGGGAGGGAGGGAGGGAGGAAGGATGAGGGAAGGAAAGAAGGAGGGGGGAGGGAAAGAAGGAGGGAAGGGGGAGAAAGAGAAAGGGAGAAAGGGAGAAAGAAAGGAAGGAAGGAAGGAAGGAAGGAAGGAAGGAAGGAAGGAAGGAAGAAAGAAAGAAAGAAAGAAAGAAAGAAAGAAAGAAAGAAAGAAAGAAAGAAAGAAAGAAAGAAAGAAAGAAAGAAAGAGATAGATTAGATTCTATTCTGTAATTCATCCAGACAGGAAGAGAGCTAGTCTATTTATGGCAAAACCTACAAAACCTGAATTCCCAAACATCACTTTCTGGAGCAATGCCAGGTCCTCACCTTGCCTTGAAGATGAAGGTTGTTGTTGAGATATTCACGCACTTCTTCATCGGTGTCTTTCTGCAGAAAAGGAGAGCAATCATCTGAACAAACTAACCAAGAAACAATCCCTGAAAGAACCTGCTCCAACCAGGTTTATCCCTTCTTAACTAAACCATCAGTTGTGATTTCTGAACATCTGTGTTCCTTGACAGACAGGACCTCAGGATGTGTATCCTTGACGGCAGGATATAAATCACTGAAATCCGAGAGAGAACTCAAAGAGGAGCATGGTCATTGTGATCCTGTGTGTGTGTGTGTGTGTGTTTTGTGTGGGGTGTGTGTAACAAAGTTGTCCTTTGTAGCTTCTCTATCCTTCCTCAACTTGGAAAGGGAATGCCCATTTAATGCTCTCTCCATCATCGTCCATGCTCTTCATCGTCCATGCTCTTCATCTCCAGAGTTGAGTAGATCTTCCAACACTCCTTCATGTCTAGTCAATCACAACCACCCTGGTCAACCGCTGGAGATCTGGAGACTTTGCCATTGGTCTGGTTTCCTTAGCAGTCCCCACCCCAAGACCCTCACCAAGGCATAGCGGATCTTGGCCAGGCTGATCAGCTCTTGGTCGGTTGGTGAACACATGTTCAAGCCGATGGGAAGCATCTTCTTCAGCGTAGCCACGATGAGGGACGTGTGGACGGAATAGCGGTCCCCTCGGCGTTTCTTCTTGTGCCGTTCCTGGTCCGAGCCACCTGACTGGGAGAGGAAGAGCCAAGTCAGTCTAGTGGGAAAGAGAGGTCGTGCCACTCAGGTTGTCCCCTGGCATGCCAACAGCTCGACCGGGCAAAAGCTTTAATGACCAAGCACAGCTTCGGACGTGGGGATTCCATGACCTGGTGGGAAAGCTGGACTAGGTCCTCTCTCAAGAGAAGATGGGAGAGAAGAAGCTGTAAAAAGTCTAGGGCAGGGAGGTCCAACCTTGTCCACTTGAAGACCTGTGGACTTCAACTCCCAGAATTCCCCAGCCAGCATGCATGCTGAAGTTAAAGTCCGCAGCTCTTCAAGTGGACAAGGTTGGACACCTACGATCTCAGTGTGGCAAAAGTGACAATCCAGAGACTTGTTGCCTCCGATACTCAGGGATCTGGGATCGATCAGTGTGGCTTCCAAGACTGTCTGTCAGAAGCGCGTGGATCAAAATCTCATTCCATGCATTCGCTTTTTGATCCATCAACCCAGAGACAGAGAGGAGGACTTTGGCCGGACTTCAGAAGAGACGATGCACATGCAGAGGTTATGCCTGGATAGGGGAAGGGCCTTCTGGGAATGAGAAGGGGGACGGGGTGTTAGCCAGTGTAGAGAGGGCCCGTTTGGAAGAAATGGAGAAGAGATACGGAGCTGCAGATCTAGGAACGTGGAATTAAAACAAGTAAGACAGAGGCAGTTGCTGGGTTAGGTAAAGGGAATTATGGGATATTTTAGCAGGGTCTGTGGAAGCGCTCATGTCAAGAAGTCAAGGGTATCTGCGGTCAGAAAAGTCAAGATGGCGGCCGCCATGATGTGATCCAAGCTCTGCCTGTTTCGTTCTTAAGGGATGCATCCGAAGCAGCGGTTGGATCACATCCTAATGGCCATCGAGTTGATTTGATTTTTGGCCACATCCGACAGCAGGAGCGGGCAATTAATTTTCCCCAAGGACCACACGAAAAATTGGGACTGTTGTGGAGGCCGAGCCAAGAATTCTATGAGGGTGTGTAGGCAGGCAGGCACACACCTATATAAATTGGGAAAAAAAATAGCAATCGCCTTCAGAATAAAATAAAAAGCACGTTGACCGGAACAGCTGAAGAGCCCTGAGGTGGCCTGAGGGCTGTAAAATGCCCAGGTCTGTAGTTGGAAAGGAGATTCTGAACTTATATTTCATAGACCAGCCATCTCCAACCTTTCTGGCTCGGCGGATCTGACAGTGGCGGGATGGGGGCGGGATAGGTTTGGGCATTAGCTCACCCAACACTTCTGTGACCCAGTTCTGGACGGGCCACAGTCTGGCATTGGGCTGTGTACCAATAGGGACCCCTGTTGTTGTAGTCAACAGGAGGAAAAATAATCCGATTTCTGAGACACGCCGTGGTGGGATTCAAATAATTTTAACAACCGGTTCTCTGTCCTAAGGATTTCTTCCAACAACCAGTTCTCTTGAACCAGTGCGAACCGGCTGAATCCCACTGGAGACACCTGGACTGAATTTTCAAAACAGGCAGGAGTGGTTTGGCGTGGCAGGGAGAAGCCCTCTCCCTCCCTCCCTGAGATCTTAGTGAAATGAATTAATTCAGATCAATCAAGACGCCAAGACGCCGTTCCAGCCTCTTTGCCCCACTTAAGTGCCAGCCTCTCAAAACAGCCTCGCTCAACCAAACACGGTTGGCAGCCGGGAGACGAAGGGGCACGAACAGGCAACCTCTTCCTCCCTCCCTCCACTAGAGAGTGACAGGGCAGGATGATGGGCTCTGGGGCAGTACAGGGAGAAGAAGAGGGCCAAGAAAGTGGGTTGGGATTAGGAGAAGGACTCCCGAGGCATGCTGGGAATTAAGGGACGTCGTTTTTTTTTTTTTTTTTTTTAGTAATGGAGACTCCGGGACCAATCAGTTAGTTAGAAGGAAGAGGAGGAGGAGGAAGAGGACATGCTGTGGCATGTCAGAACTATTCTAGAGCATGGCTGCCCACTTCAACATGGCGCGAGTCCCACTAACTGGGTGATTTGACAGGCAGAAGTTGCCACCCATTGCATGTCTGTTGCGTTGCGGCCAGACCTGCAAAAAAAAGCTACTGCGCTTTTGTCATCGTCCATGCAGCCGCAGCCCCTTCCCTTCCTCCCGGGTCCCGACTGACTTTGCAACGACACCCCCACCCCCCACCCCGCCTCACCCCACTTCTAAACAGGGAGGGAGCGAAGGGTTGCGGCAGAGATATCCCATTGCTCTATTCATGCTGCCTTGACCCTTTGGGCCCGTGGAACAGCTGTGCTTTTGCTAACCTGGCTTTCTTCAGACTAAACCCACATGTGGAGATGGGGAGAAAAGGGAGAGAAGACAGGAGAAAGAGAAGGTTAGAGGAGGCGTCATCCCCGCCTCGCCGTTACTCAGAGGAAGGACTCAAAGCAAGAATCATCGGTCCAGAACTCGGTGGATCTAAGATCCTAGGAACTCTTCCATCATCCAGATGTTGGGGTCTTCCTCCCCACCCCACAAGCAATATCTGGTCAGTCGATCCGAAGAGAATACTTGTAGCTCAGGGTTGAATTGTGAAGTCCTTCATGCTCTCTGAGTTTGGACGGTTTTTTTGCAGACGTTTCATCGCCCAACTAGGGAACATCATCAGTGCTAGGAGGGGGGTTTATAAGCAGAGAGCAAACCCCACTCCCTACTAGCATTGATGCAGAGGTGGTATTCAGCAGGTTCTGACCGGTTCTAGAGAACCGGGAGCGGAACGTTTGAGTACTTTGGAGAACCGGCAAATACCACTTTCAACTGGAGAGTTTACAGTATCCTTCCCCTGCCACACCCACCAAGCCACGCCCACAGAACTGGTAGTTAATCATTTGAATCCCACCACCGCACTTGATGATGTTACCTATTCGGGTAACGAAATGTCTGCAAGAAAAGAACCAAGCTCGGAGAGCACCAAGGGCCCGTACAATGGATCCAATGTATGAGAAATGATCAAACAGGAGGATTAATTTATCACCGTATCTTGCCATTCTTTTTCCTTCCCAAAGGTAGAAAGGGAAGGAAAACCCCGTGTTTTGACTTCTTGTTAGTTGCAAGAGGATGGAGAACAGGCAAATGAGATTGATGGGAGAATCCTTGACTAAGGACAGTTTGGCAAACGATGTCGATAGACATAACCAGTAGTGGTATGCTACCGGTTCGGACCGGTTCTTCCGAACCGGTAGTAAAAAACGAACAAACCCGAAAACGATCAGCTGAGAGGAGGGAAAACGGCCTTCAGCTGAGAGGAGAATGAAGAGAAAAACCCACCCACCCCTGCACTTTTCTCTTGTTCAACCCCTCAGCTGATCGGTGCCGCAGGCCTCAGCTGGTGTGTGGAAAGCTGCGCGTGTGTTAGGTGCGTGTGCAATCACCAAACCAGCAGTGGAACCCGTAGGATCCCACTGCTGGATGTTAACTGATGCCCCGCAGGCCACTTGCACGTTAACGCTGTCACGCAAATGAAGTAAATTCCCACATTTATTAGATGTTCTACTTTGAGTAGGGATGCCTGAATTCCAGACATATTTCCCCACCGTTTGGGGCATTAAAAAGGAGATTTTGTTCTGTTCTCTCACTTCGTGAAGAATCTACATAAGAGAAGATCTGTAGGATTACCCCTTGCAAGTGAAATGTTTAGAAAATGAGTTGCTAAGCCAAGGCCCCTTAGTAAGTTGACTCCTCCCCTGAAACCTGGAACCGTGCAGCCCTCGGACACATCCTGTCCACCGGGAGCTCAGCAAACGGTTGGGTTAAAGACCTTCTCCCCTGCTGGAGGAGGAGGAGACCCCAGCAAAGTCTCACCTTGGACATTTTGCTTTTGCTGTCGGCTGTCAGGAAGGACATGTTGTTGATTTCGTTCTGAACGACAAAGTTCTGCTCTTCTCGTTTAAAATTCTGTAGGAGGAACAAGAATCAGATGTAGGATTTCTGCAGGGGGTTCGCATGGGGTTCGGGAAGAGTCCCTAGCTCAGATTCTGTGCATTTCGGAGAACCCCCCCCCCCCCAATCCCATTCCTGGCTGGCCCCGCCCACCCCGCCCCGCCCCTCTCAGGAATCCCCATGCGGCCTGTTTTGGATGCAGGTAAGTGCAAAACACACATGGAGATGGTGACAAACGGGCCTCCTGGAAATTCAAGAAGGCTGGAAATGGGCCCATTTTCGGCTTCCAGAGAGCCTCCGGAGCCCGGGGAGGCTGTTTCCACCTTCCCGGAGGCTTGGGGAAAGCCTCCGGAGCCTGCCGGCATGGTGCAGGAGGCCAACTAGGCCATGCCCACCATGGCCAAGCCCACCCATTAACCAAGCAAAGCCGCCATTGGTAAAATTTTTGAATCCCACCCCTGGTTCCACCCAACGGACGCAGGCCACGTTACTTACAGCAGAGGTTCCCAACCTTGGTAACTCTATGACTTGCGGACTTCAACTCACAGAATTCTGGGAGTTGAAATCCACAAGTCATAAAATTGCAAAGGTTAGAGACCCCCTGACCTACAGAACTACCTTTGTGGCATTGCATTGGTCTGTCCCACCTGGACAGGCGGGGAAAGTATGTTGCAGGACCTGGCGTTTAATGAATCCTGAGCCAGGAGCCGGGTCCAGGAAGAGAGTCTATTCTGCCATTGCCCCCGCGCTGCGGAATATTCTCCTCCTGGAGGTGGAGGCAGGGCCCCCCACACCCTCCTGGCCTTCCCAAAAGGAGCTACATTAAGAATACTTCTGCACGGATGAATCCTAGCATTCAAAAGACAACGAGCAGGTTTTCTCGCTCTGTTCCTTCTCCAGCGTTTTCAGCGGAAAGACAACTTGGAAATTGAACCCACAAGCCTGCCGCTCTGCTATCCTCCATAAAAAGCTCACTCACGTGGGACTTGGACCAATAAATAAAGATTTCCCCAATCATCCGGAACAGCTCCTCAGCATCCAAGTTGGGCTCAGTCAACCAGTGGGCCCTACAGATGCAAAAGGAATGGTTGGTTGAGTGCCTTCTTCTATCCTGTTTCTCTGAAAATACGACCTACCCTGAAAATAAGTCCTAGCTTGGCTTCTACTCATCCCCAATATAAGCCCTACCCCCCCCAAATTAGGCCTACTTAACATCCTGCCCACTCCAGAGTGGATGGGTAAAAATTAAGCTAGGGTGGGGATGTGGGGTGGGGTGGGGTTGGAGCTGCCCTACTACTTACTTTTGGACAGTTGTAGCCAGGCCTTGCACACCCCGACACCTGCCTTGCCGGCCCGTTTCTTCTGCAGCCAGCAAGGCTGGCAAGGCTTTCCTGGAGGCCTCTGCAGCTGATAAGAAAGTTCTGGATCGAACCAAAGCTCTGTTATTGGCTGCAGAGGCCTTCAGGAAAGCCTTGCCGGACGCAGAAGAAGAAATTCCTGAAGGTCTCTGACAGCGAAAAGGAGGATGGAGGTGACGCGCGCAAGTGAGGTTAGTCAGTGGATGACATCCCCCCAAAATAAGACCTGGTGCTTTTTTGTGGCAAAAAAAATAAAAGGGTCTTATTTTCGGGAGACATGGTACGTCCCACAGTTCACATGATCTACTCTGCAGAAACTCAGCACTGAGGCCCACTCTATCCACAAGAGAGAATATTTGTAGCACAGGGTTGGACTGTGGGGTCCTTAATGCTCTCTGTTTTCTTGCAGATGTTTCTTTACCCAACTAGGGAACACCATCAGTCCTAGAAGGGAGTGGAGTTTGCGAAGTAGATGGGTGGAGGGCTATGGGATCCTTGGCACTCTCTGCGGTTTGTAGTTTTCTTGCAAACATTTCACGACCCAACTAGATAAGATTTTCAGTGCTAAGGGGGAGTTGGGACTGCTCTCTATCTGAGTGAGCAAACTCCCCTCACTTCTAGCATTGATGACGTTTCGATCTTCTCTTTTTCACTTTCTATCTCTTCCAAACAATCCTGCCTGGATTTCTTTTAATACAGACAGGGACAGCGAACTATCCAAAACAGGTTTTCAAGGTAACAGCATTTATTTATTGATATATAACCCACCTCTTTAATTTTTACAAATAACTCAAGGCAGTGAACATATCCAACACACCTTCCTCCACCTATTTTCTCCATAACAACCCTTTGAGGTGGGTTGGGGAAGGAGAGAGGGGGAGGGAGGAGGGGGGAGGACTAGGTGGGACTAGAACTCAGTGTTTCCTAGTGATGGGTCTGAAGTTATCCAATTGGATTTTGTGCCTAAAGCAGGACTAGAACTCCCCGTCTCCTGGTGATTGGCCTGACGTCACTCAGCTGGCTTTCATGGCTAAGGCGGGACTCGAACTCACAGTCTCTTGCTCTCTAGTCTGGTGTCTTAACCCTGAGACCAAACTGGCTCTCTTGAAATCCTTGTGCTACCTTTCTTAACTACACCCACCTGTCATTACCTTGCAAGTTGCAATCTGCACCTTATGCGCGTGTGCATGGATTTGGTTCACCAACTGCGCCTTACCTGTTGTTGTCCACATAGCGGATCAGCAACGGGTAGAGGGCATAGAGGTCACGACACAGCACGGAAAACTCATCCCGGATGAGTAGCTCCGTGTCCTCCGATTCGGACTTGACCTCCAGCCGCAGCTGTTCCTCTTCCGCCACGACTTTCCCGGACCGCTTCTTCAGCTTCTCCATGGTGGGGATGAAGTGGGAGCGGAGCAGTTCGGGCTTGGCCTTGCTGACAATAGGCTGTGCAAAGACTGCGCAAGGAAGAGCCTCCTCAGTCAGGAGCAGGCTACCTTTCTCCAAGTTCTAAAGTTAAGAGTCCCTCCAACAATTCCACTGGTGGCTAACATTTTTGGGCTCCTGTGCCAAAAATTGTGAGCACGCTTGCACTTGCATGCCAGCACCCAGAAGACAATGCGCGCCTCCCATGTCCCCTATGCATATGTGCGCAATCCCCTCCGCCGCCCCCTTACCTGCAGTGTACCTCACAGCTGATTTTTGGCCGGTTTGAGGCCTTTTTCGGCCTCCCAAAGGCTTAAGGCTTCTGCAGGCTTCTACAAGCTTTGTAGGCCGAAATCTAGCCCCGTTTCGTCACTTCCTGTTTTTCCGACAATAGTAGTGACAAAACGGGGCTAGATTTTGGCCTACAAAGCTTGTAGAAGCCTGCAGAAGCCTTCCTCAAGCCTTTGGGAGGCCGAAAAAGGCCTCAAATTGGCAAAAAAATCAGCTGTGAGGCGTGCACATGTGCAGTGAGATAAACAAGAACAGAAGTCTAATTACTGATGAATATCCACTGACAGACGTTTCAAAAACAAACCGGAGTTTATTGGACCCAAGTCTAAAGAACTTTTTTGCTTCCTGCAAAGAGCACATCCCCGAAGGCTGGCTTTTATCCCTTATGGGAGGGGCCATCACCTTCCAGCCTTCCCGTGTCGCCCTTGCTGCTTCAGCTGCTCTCTCCTTTGAGCAGCCCTATGCACATGCGCACTGGGCACAGGCTCCCCGGGGTCCTCTGCTTCTCTGCTGCCAGACTCCAAAAGCTCTGAAGGCTGCACCCCACATCCACACCTGCTGCCAGCAAACCACAACAAGGCAGCTCAAGGGGATCCTTATGACCTTTGCTTAGTTTTATATCTTATGATGCCATTTCTCTCTGGAGCAAAATTTCAGCTCGCTTGTAAAGAAAGGGCCTCAATCCCAGGACCCTTCATACCTGCCAACCGCTTCATCCAAGAGGCTTCATCTATGCCCAGGTTGTTGACGATGATCTTCAGGATGTTTCCCAGCAAGGTGTTGAGGTGGTCCGAGGTCACTTCAGTGCACCAGGGACCCTGTGCATTGGTCTCCGGGCCTCTCTCCCACCAACGGGGCAGGTAGTTGCAAAGCATCGGCAGGGTGACTTCAATTACGTGGGGCATTTCGGTATAGCGAGCCCCTGACTCCGCCAGCCCGTTGATATCCTTCATCAGCTTCTCCAGGACTGGAATATCTGGACACATCTCCTCCACACAGTTCGGTAGGCCTAAGACTGGAGGAGAAGACAGGCACATTTAAATTTCTGGAGGCCTGGAAGAAAAAGAGCTAAATTCGGAGACCACGTCTTTGCTGGAAGGTCTCCAGATGTCCACTCTGAACAGAACCTGTCTAGGCCATCTTGGAGGCTTCCGCGTTGCCATGAGGGAGAAGAAGGGACAGGGAGGGGAGAAATAGTGAGCTGGGGTTTTGTGGTCAAAACAAATAGTTTTCCTTTGGGAACCAAGGTCATCCCAACAGGTGGCTGGGGAAAGGAGGAGCCAAATAACCAAGTAACCAGCCAGCACCTTGATTGGACAAGGTGACTGATGGACTCAGGGAAAGGGGGAACTTTTACTCTAATTAGGGGAAAACAGCGGGAACCTTCAGAGGCAGTTTTTCCCGGTTGTGCAAATGTGAAGTATCCAATAAATGATTCCTTGAGGAATCTACCTACCTTCTACCTGTGTGTAAGTCCTTACTGAAAAGTTCTAAACTTGAGCACGTAGGTGGGCCGCTATGCCAGCTTTAGGACCTGGCTCAGGAATTCTGGGAGTTGAAGTCCACAGGTCCTAAAGCGGCCATAGTGGCTCACCCGTACTCAGGAGGAGAGAGCCTAAATGGGCACCCCCTGCCCAAGGAGGAAAGGGAGAGAATTGGAGGAAATGTCAAGGCGAAAGGGAGATTGCAGTCCTTCCTGCTTCCTTTTGCCACACTCACTGGCTCTCTCTCTCGGGGATTTGGTGGTGTAAACCGAACAAGGATTGAATTCGTTGAGGTGCGGCTCCAGGAAAGCCACAGGCATCGCCGCTGCCAGCCGGGCCAAGCATTCTCCAAGTTGGGGCCTCTGTCTGCAGAGGGGGACAAGAGACAAAGCCGTAACGTACAATGACTCCAAGCTAGGGCCTCACTTGATTCCTCCTTCCATCCTGGTCAGCCATTCCCCAATCTCTTGGCTCCGTATCACCACAAAGGGTCCATACCAATGATGGCTAACCTTTTCGTCATGTGGCAAAAGTGCGCACGCACGGCTGCACCCATAATGCAATGCGCGCACGACTCCCACGCCCCCTGCGCATGTGCGTGAATTCCCTCCCGCCCATGCACTGTGCGCCTCTGCACATGCGCGTGTGACCCCCCCATGCCACGCACCTCTGCGCATGCACAGCAGATACCCAACAATCAGCTGGCTGGCAGGGGGCGCATGCATGCGCAGTGGATCAGTTCGGGCGACGGCTCGTGTGCTGGCAGAAATGGCTCTGCGTGCCACTTCCGGCACGCGTGCCATAGGTTCACCATCACGGGTCTACACCCTTCCGGCTGAGCCCAACCTTGTCCTCATGCTCACCTCTCCACATACGGGTTTTTGGTTGTCCCTAGGGAGTAGATGCTGCACAGCGTTCGGTAGCAGGAGACCTGGACGTCATCCACTGAAGGGGCACAAAAGAAAAAGAGAGAAGAGAGAGAGAAAAGGGAGTGAGAGGAGAGAAAGAGAGAGAAAACAGAGGGAGAAAAGAGAAGAGAGGAGGAGAAAGAGACGAGAAGAGAGAGAGAAAAAAGAAGAAAAGAGAGAGAGAGGTACAGAAGAGAGAGAGAAAAGAGAGTGAGAGGAGATGACAGAGAGGAGACAGAGAGAGATGAGAGAGAGATGTGTGAGAGAGAGAAGAGAGAGAGAAAAGAGAGAGAGGAGACAGAGAGAGAGAGAGAGAGAAGAGAAAAAGAGAAAAGAGCAGGAGAGAGAGAAGAGAGAGGGGGACAGAAGAGAGAAAAGAGAAGCGAGGAGGAGATAGAGAGAGAGATGAGAGAAGAGAGAGTGACAGAGAGAGAC